GGGCTTTTTGAGGAGGCAGAGCTGGTGCAGGTGGCTCTGAAGAAGGCCTCTGAGGACACACAGTTTTCCTGTGCAGTGCCTAAATCACCATTCTCAAGACTTCAAGTCTTATTTTCCATGAGTCTGGGGTCTGCATGTGTGGTCCTTCTGGGCAAGTCAATCGAAGACCACTTGGGCTTCTCAAGGTCAGTGAGTGTCACATTCACAACCAAAAGGAGTCCCACGCTGACCCTGCAGGAGATGAGTCTTAGCAACATGCTTGCGTCCTTCCCCAGCACTGGCACAGATGCTGATGGAGCAAAACTACAGAGAACTGAGAATCCTTTTTTCTTAGCAGGTCCCATACTGTAGCATGCAACCACACAGCTAATTTTCCTCTTGCATTCAAAGAACCAGAAGGGTGAGGTTGAGATACACAGCTATCCGGGTACCAAACAGCAGCAAGATGAACCGGCCAACCCAGTGCAATACAAAAGCCAAGAAACACCTGGGAAAAGGGATACTTAAAACAAAGTTCTTTAATAATTTGAACTAAGACACAAATTAGTGCCTGACCACAACATGAATAACAAACAAAATGCATTAAATATCTCAAAGCTATGGTGCTCGCAAAACAAGATAGGCTGATACACAGAAGCCTAACGTTAGTTACCAGCAGGTCTGGTACAAAGAATCAGTTCAGTATTATCAAAATTGTCAATAAACACTGCTCAAAGCAGCTGTTTTACAAGTCAACTGCCATTCGTCCGTCACAGTGTGTTTATATATCTGTAACAATATGCTGAATTTCAGAAAAAAAAAACCCAAAATATTACATTAGAACCAATAGTGTCAGTGTTAAAAGGTTTGGTCACGTAACACATGGTGTTTTTCACACCCCATACAGGTGGACAGATGTTATTTGCTAAGACAGTAAACGAGGCATCATCAGTGCATTCAGCTCAGCTTAATAGTCAACATCACACAGACAATGTCAGTTTGGGAGATTAACAGAAAAATCCATCCCTGTTCTGTCTAAGGAGTGACCACTGTTCACGCTGCTTGAAGCTCTGTTCCAAAATCCAGGGAGCAACAGTATGCTCCTCTGCAGTGACTGACCAAGGCTCTAATTTAGGAAACATTTTGGTATAGGGTTTGCTATGGGCATGTGGGAAAACCCATCTTTATTCAATACTGGCATTTGAGGAACAGGTGTATGTTGTTCCACAGAAAGAAGAGTGAATCTGAGATTGTTCTTCCAGCTATTCCTGTGTTCTGGTGATGAAGGATCAAAAAAATAAAAATAAATAAACAAAATCAAGGAAGACCCTTTATCTTTGCATTTGTAAAATCTCAGTCATCTGCCCTCAGCATCAGGCAGATGCATATACTCAACTTGAGTGAAACATTTTACAGGCACTGGTTTAGGGTCTTGCATTAGCTGGATTCTCATCTTGTTGAGACTGGATACTTCAACAGGTACAAATAGAGATCCTAAGTGAGAGATTCGGGCAACAATCCTGCCTCCAAAATCACATCAACAGATCCAGGAGCTCCAGAAACAAAATGGGACTCTGCATAAAGTGCTTGCTTGACTGCTGTGCCTTCTCACTGCCCATCACTGCACTACACATGCTACAATAAACAGCAGTTATGGGGCTAAATTCCTCATCCATCTTTACAAACATGAGAGGATCCAAGGATCCAACAGCATCAGGGACGTGGGGTAGCCAGGCACGAGTTTCAGCTGAGAGGCAGCTGCATACTGGGTAACTGTATTTCTACAGAACAGCCACGAGAAGTGCCCTGACTTATGCACTAGAAGGATTTTTAACATAAACCAAAGCCCATTTCCACCTAACAAGGACCTTCTGCGGACCTCAAGGAAAAAGACAGCTTCAGCTCCCAGAAAAGACTTGCAACAGGTCAGGCACTTGGCTGCAGTAGGCAGCTGTGGGTGATACATGGGAAAGACCAGCCTCCAAACAATCTTAACAGCTGTACAGTAAATCCTCTGTAGTTTTATCATGGACTCTCAAGGAAAGCTGGCAGAAGATGTTCCTGGTACGCGAAAAGCATTTTCACTTGTATATGAAACAATCCATGTCAGCTTCCATCCTCAGAGAGCAACAGCTGGATAATTCATAATGAACCACACGTAACACATTACATCACCTCTATGGCAGAGCCAGCAGGAGAAGTTAAGTGTATAAACATCAAAACCCTCGAGATTGCTATACAAAAATCCAAAGTGCTGTTATAAAGAAGGCGGCTGATGTAATACCGTGGGATTCTGTGCTTAATCTTTCATTATTCTCTTTCCATGTCAAATTTCTTAATCTCCTTCTGCCTCTTGCTTCTCGTGGGTAATAAAGACTTTATTATGAAAAGAGATAAACAATGAAGGCTCACAGTCAATCAGTAGTTTGCATTTAAAGCCTCTCACTGCCTCCTTATAAAGCGCAGACAGGGAGAGCATGTTTCTGGAAAGCAAAGCAACTGTTTTACCCAAAAATGTCCATTACAACCATGGGGGCCCATCAAAACGAATGCGTTCTTGGATCCTCAGGTCTACTGAAGAAAACAGCAGTGCTGCTTTGTTACAGCTCCTCTTCCACCACCAAACATCACAGTGATTTATTTCACCCACCTGCTATCAGATGCCAAAAAAATAAATATCCACAGGGTGAAACTGGTTTCAGAAGTGGTATTAATGAAATTCTTGAATGCAAAAACTAAACAATGTGGTGGTGAGTCTGGGAAACATGAGCGATACACGAGTGATACTTGGAGGATTTTGTGTTCTTATGAGTTTCAGGTGGATGAGTTAGAAAAAAAATTCATTCTGTTAGAAATCAAGTGCTGGAAGCAAATGTACTCAGCCAAAAGAATTAACTGCACTTCAAATCATACGGTCCCCTTCAGGCAAACAAAGCAGGGCCAAGGATGAACACAGCGTCAGTGTTAGAAGAGAATTAAAACTAATTACAGGACAATATCTCCTACCACATCTCTGCCATGGTCACATCAAATTAATTGTACACCGTATCCAAACATTAAATGTCACTTAATACACTGCCAAAAAAAGGTTTCAGTTCACCTGTCTCAGTTATTAAGTCCTCCTACTCACATCTCTATCTAAATCAAACTCCTGTGTTCAGAGGATCAGCAGACGGGGCATGACCAGAAAGTCTGACAGACACCAAATGAATGTGGACATTTATGTAGTGAACAGTCAGCCACAGACACATATGGTGCCACTGCAAAGCTTGGGGGCTGCAGACTGCTCTGACACCTTCATTTTCAGGCAGGCATCATTAAGGGCACAGGCACTGTCTAATGCACAACAGAGGTAGATTGGCAAGTGATAGACTGCATATTCCAACCTTGACTCTGGGGCAGTCTTCTAAACACTTGCTGGTAGCACACCTTCCTTGTGCTGAAAGGAAAAGCATTAGAAAGGAGTCTGGAGATGACTAATACTGCAAGTCAGCTTCAAACACTGCCTTCAAAACGCAGACAAGATCCCTCTCGATGGTGCGTTTCTGTTCATCATGTCTCATGTTCAGTTGGCAATGTGAGTCTTAAGGATCCAGAAAATCTTGATTCCTGGCGTGGTATGGTGTTGTTTTGTACTGAGAGAGTCATTCTGACATTTTTCTACTGCTTTCCAAGGAAAAATTCTTCATCTACAGTCTGCATAACCACTCACTCCTGATCTGTGCCAAGCTGATGGGCTCAAGGTGACACATTTCCTGGTTCTTCATAGATGTTAAAGAATAAAAGGGTTCTTCATTATTTTTATGTCTGTCTAACACATACTGTAGGATTCATATTAAAGGACACCTGCTATTTCTGTAATTCCCTTCAAAGTAGCTGCTGTCTGAATCCTACTCAAAAAGCAGGATCAAAGATGACCCACCTTGTAAGATGTACTGCAACAAAAGTTTGGGGTATGCTGCTCTAGGGACTGCAGAAAAATCAGCACATCATACAAGCAATATAAATAGAAATCAGTTTTAACAGACATCTACCAAATTACAGGAGTAAAGATGTATGTCTTTCCAGGCACTAGAAAACATTAGAATTTTAGCAATAAAGTTAAGACTGGCTTCCCATTTTCATTATCACTTACAGGATCAGTAAGGCAGTCAACCCAAAGCAACTATAAGGTTATTTATGCTTAGAATATACATATATGTGTATATATGTGTATATATATATATCTATATATATATAAAAATTACATTCATCAGGGTCCAGCACAACCTGAAAGGTCACCAGGAGGGTGGCTCACGTTTATTTGGAATGAAGGAAGAACACAATCTGCCTAAGTTTTTAAGACAAAAAACACTGCTGATAAATGATATGAATAAAAAAGATAACAGCAGCTTAAAATTAAGGTAAGAGCTAATATCTTTTTAATCTTGACAAATTAATTCAACAGGGTCTGAATGGAAACACATCTTTGTTGCAAGTGTGTGGGAGAGTGAACAAATTCTTTTAAAATACACCATTCTAGAGATGCTTTATCAGGATGAAAGTGGCTTTTTCGTATACTGTGGTTCCTGTAATTACAGGCAAATAAAGCAGAGCCCCTACATCTTCCAGAAACAAAAATAAGACCACTAAAATAAAGGTTCTGTTCTTTTTCTTAAAAATAAAACCCTACCTAGCAAACGTCACTAAGGACTGTTGATATGCAGTCCCTGCACTGCTCCTGTTACAGGACTCTTTTCCCAAACAGATGGAAGCGTGCAGATGTATTCAATAAGAGAATAAGATACAGTGTGCAGAAGCATGCTTGAGAGAGCCAGGAGGGGAACAGGCAGGCACTTATGTTCAAGCTACACTTTTTGTATGGTTCTCAAATCTCGCTACAAGAAAATAGGACTTCTGGGTAATCACAGACATCTGGTCCAAACCAGCACTTTCCTCCCTCTGTGCTAGCAGTTCCAACCTCTTTCAGTTTCAGAGACCCCTCCTTTCCCAGCACAGATGTCAGTAGCCTCTAGCTCTATAGAGATGAGGTTGACAACGGATTTGTTTAAAAAATGTTGTTCAGAAGTCTTGTTAACTGATGACAGGTCAAAATGCACTGCTCTTAGCACATGCACAAACCTCGCTGGAGTCACTGAAGGTTAAGCATTGTTTTCTAGTCCTGAGTTTGGATCCCAAGAGTCCAGGCTTAGTCACCATAACCAAAAGCCATGATTTTGTTTAGAGCTTTGCATCAGCAGGGCTGCCACAAATGGACACAGAAGATATACATAAGTCTGATTTTTTCAACCAGAGAGACAGCTTTATAGTCACATTACCGTGCCTCACTGCTGTGGGCATGTTTTAAATCAATGCAGAGCAGGACTTGCCATCAGTCTGAGCACTTCCCTTTTCCCTTGGTGGCAAGAAGGATAAATTCCTCAAAGCATCAACAATTGCATAGCATGGCAGCTTGATGGCCTAGAGACAAACTACATTAGCCACCCCAAGCTCTGGACAGACAAAACGAGCCACCAATATGAGGTATATTTTGAAAAACTGTGTTCAATTATTATTATTTTTTTTATTTTAATTTTTAATGCTTGCTAATTTTGATCATCTGGGTAGGAAAAAAACACAGAAATCAGAGGGTTTGTCCCCAGATAAGAGCCAAAGGTTGGTGTTAAAAAGGTATTCAACTTTCCACAGAGAAACCACATGATGGAAACATTAAGAGCAAGCAATCAAAATGCTGCATGTTTTGGGGCATCCTCAACATAAATCTTGTTCTTTACTCTTTTGTCAATATTTCTGAAACAGATGCTTCTGAAAGTCACAGCAGTATTTAAGACTCATAAAATAATAGAAAGGCACGAATTCAAAGCTGAACAAGCACACACATACACAGTGTTTGTCAATCTGTGCTAAGGCTAGCATAATGGGATTAGGAAAGTATGAAGAGAAAAAGAAGGCATGTAAATAAAAAAAGATTTTTACATGTTTCTTGTGGTTATAAACCACCTGATGGATCACCAGTCAAACAAATTAGGAATTTTGTTTCCACACACAAACAGCTCCTATATATCACAAATGCCTTCTCTTGGTCACACCCTGGAACATCTTGTATGATGTACCTCAGTTGGGCTAAAACAAAAGTGAAAACTTGGTACAAAATTAACCAAATGGCACATGTATCCCAACCTTTTTGCTTAAAATATCAATTGCAAAGGAGGCTGTAGAGAAGCAAGGGTAGAATAAAGCCCTAAATCAATCATACATACTTCATTAATTGTATGAAAGTGCAAGATTAAAGTAGTTCAGGTTAAGCATTCAGTCCACTACAGTCCACACAGATGCTTAGCTTGGCCATCAGTGACCTGTTTTTATCATTCAGTTACTAATATTAGTTTACACCACAGAAAGAACAACAACTGAATGAAAAACTTAAGCAACCCACTTCAAAAACGGTTAGTTTTCTGTGACCAGCACGAAATATTAGCTCAGTATCATCAGCTATACGACATATACATAAAAATATTGTGTCTTAATCTTTGTTTTAACAACTTAGAATAAAGCTGTACTAAGCGTTATTCTCCTATTGTGCCAACTCTTTGCTCTGTTCTGGCGGGCAGGCCAAGTAACACAGAGAAGTCCTTTTGTAGCAATGGGACTTGAACTGATCCACGATTTTGACAATCCAGCCATAACAAGTGTTGAATCACTTTATTCAGCCAGGCTAAGTGGATGCACGTGACGGCCTAGCTCTCAGTCAAAGCTTCTTGGGTGGCTCCACAAGAAGAACAGGCCATATTCCAAGAAGAAACTGTTAAAAGAAAAATATGAAGAGGAGAAAGATTTCTTGGAATATCTCTTGGAACAGAAAGCAAGCACTGTTGACAACATCTCAATTGCACTTACTGGAATGCAAGTAGAAAGCAAAGGCAGTACCATAACAACAGACACAACAAGCAAGCCCCACTGCACGTTCAGGCCCAAGGTACACGAATGGTCCAGTGGACACAAAATATTGGTTGCTTACCTTCACCTTTGGCCTGTGTTTCAGGAAAAGTGTCCTTGTGTATAAACTGAGAAAGAGAAGGAAAGCACACTTTAAATTTAATATGTAAGACAGCGTACAAAATAATAATCAAGTACTAATGCTTGTTTTGTTTTCCAACTGGAAAATAATTGATACTGTGATTGTAGAACTAAACGTTATGACTACGTTTACACAAAATAGGAAACAGCCCACATGATAAATCCCACTGCAATTAGCAAACAGATCTACACAATCAACTATGTGAGCAGGGAGAAGTCCTCTCTGCTCAGGAAAAGATCTCAGGAAACACATGAGGAAAAGGATTCGGGGGTGTTGGTTGATGAAAGACTCAACATAAGCTGGCAACATGTGCTTGCAGCCTAGAAAGCCAACCATATCCTAGGTTGCATTAGGAGAAGTGTGACCAGCAGGTTGGGTGAGGTGATTCTGCCCCTCTGCTCCGCTCTCGTGAGACCCCAGCTGGACTACTGTGTCCACTTCTGGAGCCCCCAGCACAAGAAGGACATGGAGCTGTTGGGGCGCATCCAGAGAAGGGCAATGAAGATGATCAGAAGGCTGGAGAACCTCCCCTGTGGGGACAGACTGAGAGAGCTGGGGCTCTTCAGCCTGGAAAAGAGAAGGCTCTGAGGAGATCTTATAGCAGCTTTCCAGTGACTGAAGGGAGCCAACAGGAAAGCTGGGGAGGAGGTTTTTAAAAGGGCAGGTAGCGATGGCACAAGACAAAATGGCTTTAAACTGAAAGAGGGTAGATTTAGGTATCAGGATGAAATCCTTTACTGTGAGAGTGGTGAAACACTGGAACAGGTTGTTCAGAAAGGTTGTGAATGCTGGAGGCTTCAAGACCAGGCTGGATGGGGCTGTGAGCAACCTGGTCTAGAGAGAGGTTTCCCTGCCTATAGCTGCGGGGGATCTTAAGGGTCCCTTCCAACCCAAATCATTCTATGACTCCATGAATAGGAACTGGATAGAGCCTGTCATTTTGGAAGGGTGAAATTACTTCACCATATCACAGAACGTAGCAGATATCAATAAAAATAATACTAAAAAAGCATAGCTTGATTCCTTACTTTTGTTCTGACTCATTCTTTCCCCTTAGCAGATCTTTTCCTGTCTGTGACCCCACTCATTATGCGACCATCAGCTCAGGTAGTATAGGTGGTGCCTCAGAGAAAACCCTAAGGAAACTACTGCAGGGAAAGCTGTGGTTCATTGGATTAGGATACATTCCTCAATGGCCAGAGAATGCAGAAATAAATTGTTTTCTCTGTGCAGCATACTGGAAAAACCTTGCCTACAGTATTCAAAGCATCTCCATCAACTTGTTTTCCATAAGGAATTTTCTTCAAAAGATCATCTCAAGCTCTTCAGGACAGCAGACAACTTTTCAGCCAAAATGGAGCAACTGTTTTCCACGTACTATGCTGTATTTCATATACACATACACATATATATGCACACATATTTATATATTTTACAGTTATATACAAAAAAAAAACAAACCAACACAACTATCAGATCAGCTACTGGAATTGTACTTATTTTCCTTGAATTCTCTTTTTACTGGCTATTTTAGCATCTGACAAAAAAAATGGAGAACTACATCAGGCATAGCAAAACTGATATGTGATCATGTTTTCTCACCTATACAGGATGTACCTGTTAGGCATTGAACAAACTACATAAGATCTGCACTCTGTCGACTTTCATCCCTGCTTCCAGTAGATGGCGGTATAGAGCAACAACAGGGAAAATCTGCTGGCTGCCGACCTGCTAATTAAGGCGCTTACACATTTAAGTCTCCTTCTAAAACTAACATCCCACACTTCTGCAAGCACTTCAGCCATCACCCTTCTGCTCTGTAGCTTAATGCCTGATAGTCCCCAGGAGTGACAGCACCTATCAAATAATTACTTACACTTGTAAAATTAAACACATTGAAGCCCTTGAGGATTCTCGCACAAGAGCAGAAAGATATTAATAGCTTATATTTGGAAATTAATTAAAACTTCCAAAGTATTCAACAGTAAACTGTACAGAGTTCTTATTTCTAAACTGCGCTTTCTTGTAGAATCATGACTATCTAAAAAATTGATGATTATTTTTGGAGAACATACACTACCAGAATTTACAGACAAGTCACTCAGAGGAAAGGACTTCCACTGCCTCCAGTTCATTACGAGGTCATTTTCCTGCTCTTCTGCTGACACAGCATGTTGAAGTCAATCTGAACCTGGGGAAACTCCCAAGGCTGCTTCCCGATCATCCAGTTTAGAAAACATTTCCTACCTGAGCAAGATATGAAGATAAGAGCCCAGGCCTGTGAGAATGTGCCACCACGCATGAAACTGTGTCACAGCTCCCAAAACAGGAGGCATCTTCTCTCGTAGTGCTCTGTAAGAAAGAAAACACTGTTGTTTTTTTTTTGTTTTTCTTGGGTTCCTCCCCTTCTCCAACAGAACAATCTCAGATTTGAGTCATCTGTTACCTCTGGACTTAAATTTCAGAGAGTGCATTTATGGCATCCCACTGGCTAAAATAAGTTCTGTCATTCTCTAGTCCCAAACCTTGCAAACTACTGCTGAGGATTAGGCCTGAGAGAAGAGGGGGTCCACCTGACCTCACTGCTTCATTCCAGCTTTGTGAAGGCTTAGCTTACCTTTCTCTGTTTTACACTTAGAACAGGGAGAAACATAGTGTTTAGTGAGGAAGCAATGAAAACAGAGGTTCTGAAATGCTCTGCCAACACATTTTGTATTTTCAGCAGTCACAGGGTGTGAGCTACTTGGGAAGAGTCTCAATGATAGAGACAGAGGAAGAAAAAAAGGAAGGAATTAAGTCACTGTGATTTCTCCTGTTCGCCAGATTTCTGCAGTTAACTCCTGTTTTGGTGGCTGGTAGAGCAAATGTGAACATCTACCTGCCTTCTTGGCTGACTTGTACTTCATGTTCAGTCAAAAAAAAAAGGGAAAATATCAAGACTGCAGGAGTAAGGGATAAAAGTCTGCAACTTTTGTTACATTTATTTACTGCACTATGTTACAGTGTTCAGACTTCTCCACTAAATGCTAGTCCCTGAGCTACCGATTAGGTTTCCAACTCAGTCACAAAGGTAAACACAGCTTTGATTCTGTCAGACCATTAATGACTACTGGAATACGAAAACAGTCACCCCAGCCTTTCAGAATCACAGAATATCCTGAGTTGGAAGGGACCCATAAGGACCACAGAGTCCAACTTCTGCCTCCATACAGCACCACTCAAAAATCTGACCATTTTGATAGCAGGAAAAGTCGAAGCTCAAAATCAGAATCTCATGTTTTGTTGTTGTTGTTGTTGTTTTAATTAGCTCCAGACTAAATGATGTAAGGAGAAACAGAAAAATCAAAACAATTTTGAACATTAGAGCCCAAAAGAACAGGTGGGTGGATGATTCACAAGTCAGATCTTTTAGAGAACAAAAAAAAGTTATTGGGAACAAGAAATTGAGCATATTTTTTCACAGAATATGCTGAATTGAAAGGGACCCACAAGGATCACTAAATCCAACCCCTGACCCCACACAGGACCACCCCAAACCCAAAGTCTGTCAGCAGTGTCCAAACATTCCCTGAGCTCTGGCAGCTTGAGGCTGAGCCCATTGCCTTGGGAACCTGATGACTGCCCTGCCCTCCAATTTGTTGAGATCTCTTTGCAAAAGCTCTCAGCCCTCAAGGGAATCAACAGACCCTTCCAGTTTAGTGTCAACTGCTGACTTACTCAGTATACTTTCAAGTCCTGAATTCAGGTCGTTGATAAAGTCATTAAAGAGAACTGGCCCTAAAATGGAGCCCTGATGACCAGCCACCAGTCTGATGTAACCCCATTTACTACAACCCTTTAAGCCTGACCCACCAGCCAACTGTTCACACATCACATGATGTTTTTGTCTAGCTGCATCCTGGACATTCTGTCCATAAGGATATTGTGAGTATCAAAAGCTTTGCAAAAATCCAAGAAGATTAGATCAACTGGCTTCCCTTGGTCAGCTAGGTGGGTAGCCCTGATATCAAAGGAGATGTTAGGTTCATTAAACAGGACTTCACTCTCATGAGCCCACGCTGGCTGAGACCAATGATTTCATTGCCTTACAGGTGTTTTTCAGTAATTCTCACAATAACCTCTTCCGTAATTTTACCAAGCACCCAAATGAGGCTGACAGGCCTGTAAATGTAATAATCTTTCTTGACCTTCTTCACAACTGGGACCAGCCTTCTGCCCTGCCTGAATGACTTCAAAATGTTCAAATCATAATTGCACTTAGAGAAATTCAAAGGGTCTGACGACATCTGATTATTAAAGCCAGTAAACAAACTTAATTTTTCTTTCCAGCACCATAACCAAACAAGTATGACAGGAAATACGCTAACATTTTTTTCCCTTTACAAAATCAGGGTGGAAAAAAAGAGCTTCAGCAGCTGGTGGAATCATTGAGTCTAAGAGCAAGCTCTAAAGCCCCACAGACACCCAGGAACTCAGCAGGCTTGGTGAATTGGGTGCTACAATCTCACCAGCAATTTGATGCAGCTGCAAAAATCAACCTTGGATGCCAGCATGTGCAAACTGACTGTATACCTACCCACTTGCATTGGAAAATAAACTTTCTATGCAAGTTTATGAAGTATTTTTAGAGGGGCTTTTTTTGCCTTTTTTTTTTTTCCTCCCCAGGTTTAATGAAAATCCTGGTGGAGTTACATATCAATTGGCTCAAAATACTGCAAGACTTACAGAGCCAAAAGGGACAGATGGAAAACGTAAGATTCCTTACAGCATGTTATGATCTGAGCCTAACAAAGCAACCTAATAGGATAATTCTGTACACCACAGACTCAAGTACATAACAGTGTATTTTATGTACACTGAGAGTCAGCCTCTCTGTGTTATGTACAGAGAGTCAAGATGGGATTTTCTTGTTGCTGGCATCAACCTGTCCAATTCTTCCAGCTTGTGGTGGAACATAACCATCACAGTGAAGTGAAAGACAAGTGCTGCTAGGAAGCTGTCCAGCTCCAAGGGATGACGCACTCAGAAACCAATGTGTTGGTCTGGTGTTCTTTCATGCACATGTACAGCATCTGCCATACAACAAGATGGTGGACTCCTACATGGTTTATGTGGAAGCCATTTTTTTGTTGTTTTTTTTTTCTTTTACCCCATTTGGCAATAGACTGAACAGAGATGAATTCTTTCTGGCCTCTTCTGCAGTGCTAAACTGTAAGACTTCAGGCTAATAATGACAGCTAGGCACAGTGCAACAGCTCACAGAGTTACTGCTCTTTGAGACACTCAAATTGCTGCTATTTATTGGTGACAGATATATTGCAGCAGATACCTCTTTAACTTGCAGAACTGCTGTTTTTGATATCTTCCTAGGAAACTATAAGATCAGAAACAAAAAAAAAAAAAGCAGGATAAAAATCTCATTCAGATGAAATCAAGTATGATGAGCAGACGTTAGTAAGGCAGTAAGGCACAGATCCTCAAAATTAATTCAGTGACATTACTTTCCCTCAATTTAAATTGAAGTTAAAGAGAAATACCTATTATTAAAAAAAAAAAAATAATAGAAAAGGAATCTATTCATGAATAAGAAAAGAACTTTTAAAAAGAACACTTTAAAAGAACTGTTCAGTGCTGAATCTGGTCATAAGCAAACTGGATAAAAGCCTTGTGAATGCTTTGTAGGCAGCTTATCAAACCTACCATGAGATGGACTTGAATATACACAGCAAAGAAACAGCTAAAAGATTGCAAGCTAGCGAGACAAAGTGAAAGTGCTCACCTCAATTTCTCACAAAAAATGTTGTCCACATTCCAGAGGAAGAATCCCATCAGAAATACAGTTAAAGATGTATAGCCTAGACCTCTAAGCCATGGGTATACCCTAAAGAGAGAAAGAGAAATAATAGAGCTTAGTTCAATATGCTTTAAAGGCAGCCTGCAGCATACATAAACACTATAACATACATGTAAAGTGCTTCATTTAAGAAGATATCAACTTCAAATTTCATCTATTCAAGTATACACAAAAATCTTTGAGTTGGAAGGGACATTTTTGAGCTTAAAGGACATCCACCTCCCTGCAATAAACAGGAACAACTACAGTTCCATCAGGTGCTCAGAGGTCCATTCAGCTCGACCTGGAATGTCTCCTCCAGGGACGGGGCATCCACTGCCTCTCTGGGCAACCTGTGCCACTGCTTCACTACCCTTATCATAAAAAAAATAAAAATTAAAATTAAAAAAAGAATTTTCTTATACCCAATCTAATTATCTCCTGTTTCAGTTTAAAACCATTTATCTTTGTTTGCTTCCATTCTCAATCCCTTGGATCATTTTTGTGGCTTTCCTCTGGACGTGCTCCAGTAAGTCCATATATTGCTCTGCTTCTGCTGAAACAGCATTCTCTGGGACTGGTCTTCTAGACACTTTGCCTCTACACTAATTGTCCCCTAAGTGTTGCGTTACGGATGAGCAGTGCATGGGTAAACTGAAGTTATACAAAACGTAAGTGTGATGTTACTACATATTAAAGAAATAAAACAGTAAAGCAGAAACAGCAATCTAATAGAACAGGCCTGAACAACTGCTAGAATTACAAAGAGAAAGACAGAAATGCATTTTAGCAACGCGGAGAGGAAGTAAACCTGAAAGTATACTCAGGGCTGGCTTCTCTCAAAGAGAAAGGGCACTGTAAGGACAGCAAAGCTTCTTTCCCTTTTTCAACTTTCTAACCACAGTTTGCATCAGTATAGTTGAAAAGGGAAGTCAGTCTTTGTAGTGTTGCAATGAAGTGATCTAGTCAATTAAGAAAATATATTCCAAAACTTCTAAAACCAAAGAGAAAAAGTAGGCAGAACTTCAGAGATTAACTTTGCAGGTGGAAAACATTGGATGAAATCTTAGAAGGATGGTGGCATTATTGGTAGTGCCATAATAGCAATGTTTCAGAAATAACGAGCGTGCACAAGAGTGGAATTTGCAGAACTGAGAAGTCAGCAGACCCAAGAGCTTATCTACACAGGGAGAGATTTAATCTAAATGCTTAGAGCTGTGCTGAATCCTTGTACAAGAATAAAATTAGATCGATTCGAACTTGATTCCCCTTGGATGTGAATAGAGGCAGTATCACTTAAGATCTCTATGCTATGATTAAAATTTCCATGTTCATGGGTTTGAAAAGTATCTTTAAACTGTTGTTTCTATAGCTGCAAGCAACACGCAATCCATCTTAAGTGTTTTTTGCTTAACAGAAGCCTGCAAACATTTATGCTTGGTTTGTGGAAATTTCTTGGGGAAAGTCAAACCAAATTAACTGAAATTGCAATTGAAAGGTGATTCAGCATATTCACTTTAAATTCACAGCTTTTGTTATGTTTTTCCTCGTGTTCCCGAACAGTTACATACGGAACTAAAAACCAAGTTTTGATGATAACTTGTTGGCTTCAAGAAAATGCAAGGAAGTGGGGCATTCTCTTTCAACCAGAGCACTGTGAATTAGCACTGTGTACCTTGTTAAAGAGATTCTGCCACCACTCATTTCCCATGTTATGACCACCAGAAAAGATACACATGCTAAGATGTATCTTATACTGTTGAGTTACTAGTAGTATGTAATAACACTTACCATAATACTATATAAACAGATCGCAGAACTATAATAGAAACTAGTGTTCCATACATGATCTGTAAATAAAAGCAGAGATAAAGATCAGCAGTGGCATTCAAGAGACTTTATAAAAGACTAAATGAATAAAACTGTTTGCATCTTGACTGTTATTTCTTAGCTTGAAGAAAATAGAATCCCTGCTAAATTTCTCTTTGGGTCAACACAAAGAGAATGCCTATAGAATAGACAAATAGAAACAAAGTTATAATCACACTGTGTATGCAATTATGGGAAAAGTCAGTTGTGGAAAGCTGCTGTTTCGTTTCTTTGAATTAGAAAGCAAACACTAGATGGCACTCAGTAAACACCTTGGCTTCAAAACAGTTACTCACTCCCATTACTTCTTCTGTAACTGTAAATTTTAACCCCTGCTTGCATAAGCATCAGTTGAAAACACACTTGAAATTTATACTTCCTTCACATACGTTTAATATTTTTTCTGAAGGCAAACACTTCAAGAGTCGATGCACTATGCCCACACTGAGCACCAGCATGAAAAAAACTTTCCAGGGAGCATTTGAAATCATCTATTCCCAAATTGCTAGGATTCATTCTACACATACAGAGAAAAGGCTGCATGCTCTGAGAAGTCCCATGAGCAACATCTGTCTCACTGTAAGCTCAATGAAGCTGAATGTAATGGACTGACAAATAAAAGGTCAAAGTACTCATTTCTTTCGTGCCTCACGATCTTCGAATCACTCTCCGTTTCTTTCTCCACAGCCTCAGGATTCACATGATACCACCTCCAAGACAATATGGATTAACAAAGTGAAGCAATGGAGTGTGCCACGCCTGAGCAGTGGTGCAGAGCAATGCAGCACAGAGGATTTTCAGACACCAGTGGCATCACTTTACTGTGATAAAAACCCACTAAACCTAACAGAACAGTTGGTTTACATACCAGCGACTTCACCACATTCAGTCAACCTCACCACTTTCCTTCTTTTAGACTACACTGTCTTCAAGGCTCTGCCATAACTGGAGCATTCAACTATTAATATCCCACAAGCATATGCACGCAGCCATTCACCTGACACAAAACAGACTGCTGTAACAGCATTTAATAAAACCTACCCTTCAGAAATCCATAAAGACCACCTTCCAAACTCACTTTAGCTTTAATGATGAGGTTAGTAGCACATACTGTGTTATCAGTGCATACATTCAGAACACGACAGACAATGGATTCTTTGTGTTTGACAACAGACAGAAGTTCCAATATTGACTATGTAAAGCCATTCAGCTCAGCAGCTCTCTATTTGGATTCAGCATGAGATAAATTCAGTAACTACACTATTGCTACGTGCATACTGCTCTGTAAACAAAGCAAAACTATTTGGAAAAGCTAATTTGTTCTGGCTTGTACTTTTACACAAAACTGTAAACTAATTCCCCTGTTGGAGTGCAGCACATAAATCAGAGAATCTGCTAGATATGGCCCTGGTATTGAGTGCTGATCAGTGCCATCTGAAGTTGGAAAGGGGACGTGGTGTTGGGACTGCTCACTGCTGAGTGCTCCATGCGCTGCTGCAATTCCCCATTGCTAGGAGTTTGCCTCTCCATCACAATGACAAATACAAATACAGTTAAATCACAGAATGGCCAGGGTTGGAAGGGACCTCAAAGATCATGAAGCTCCAACCCCTGAGCCACATGCAGGGCCACCAACCTCCACATTTAATACTAGACCAGGCTGCCCAGGGCCCCATCCAATCCGGCCTTGAACACCTCCAGGGATGGACGGGGCATCCACAGCCTCTCTGGGCAGCTGTTCCAGCACCTCACCACTCTCTGTAAAGAATTTCCCCCTGACATCCAGCCTAAATCTTCCCTCCCCCAACTTCAAACCATTTCCCCTTGTCCTGCTGTTATCAACCCTTCCAAAGAGTTGGTTCCCCTCCTGTTTGTAGGCTCCCTTGGGGTACTGAAAGGCTGCAATGAGGTCACCCCACAGCCTTCTTTTCTCCAGACTGAACGAGCCCAGCTCCCTCAGCCTGTCTTCATAGGGGCGGTGCTCCAGTCCCCTGATCATCTTTGTGGCCCTTCTCTTGACCCTCTCCAACAGCTCCCTGTCTCTCTTGTACTGGGGGCTCCAGATCTGGGCACAGTGCTGCAGATGGGGCCTCACAAGAGCAGAGTAGAGGAGGACGTTCACCTCCCTGTCCCTGCTGGCCACCCCTCTCCTGATGGAGCCCAGGATCCCATTTGCTTTCCAAGCTACAATAGCACAGTGCTCTTGAATAGCATCTTACCCACTTCAAAGCGCTTTTGCTTTCCTAACCAAATCCAGTAATTTATTCTAAGAGAGAAGAAGCAGCTCCTGGGAAGGCTCCTTGGCCTGACCTCATTTCCTTGTGGTTCTCATCTACAATCTGCACTGACAAAACACAGTTCTGCAGCATGGTTACAGAAAAAATAACATGTGAAGTGAGAGACTTTTACCAATCTGCTTAAGAGAATCATAATCATTAAGGCTGGAAAAGATCATCTAGTCCAGCTGAATGACCTCCAAGCTTTTTCTATGTAATTTCTCTCAGTTCCTTCGTACAAGAAAGCAATAAACAGTGCTAGATTAAGTCCACAGAAACACAGTTTAGAGCCAGCCTAAAGCCAATGTAAAACACTGGCTATAAACACTATCTTTGCAGCTCCTAAAAGCAGGTAAAAGGGAAAGCTCTGAAAAGTGTAGAGCCAGTGGCTCCGTATCTCTTAAACGCTTGTAGAAGGGGACAGGCTTAATGTAGGAAGGAAAAAAGGAACCTTGCAATGAGTATAAAGAAAATCTGCGCACAGCTGACACTACAATTTCTTTCCTTTTGCACTCTCCCACACAAATAGGTTGTAAGCAGTAAAACACAACATTCATGCTTAAAAGCCCATGAAAGACTGGAACAACAGCGTTCTGCTCTGTGTGCTCCAATCCTTCTCTTCACACCACAGACAAACATCCAGGAGGTGTTGCTACGATATGCACGTCTTATGACAGCTTTTGCTTACTAGGTATCTATAAACAGTGCAGCATAAATTAGTTTCTACTTTTGGGAGCAGTGTTTACTTTTATTCCTCTCCCACCCATGGATTTACTATTTTAAATATGCCAAAAAAGTATCTCAGGTATTATCTGCCCACCCAAGGGATACAGTACAAAATAAAATAAAAAAATATCTACTGTAATTCAAGTCTATTCAAATTTCTCAATTCCTTCAGTTCCCTTTTTTTTGTTGTTCTTTAATGTATCACTTCAGTGACACTGGAACACCCAAGCAAGCTTTGTGCAAGTCTGCCTTACACTGCCATTAAATTGTAAGCAAAAGAACACCTCACTACAATTTAAACAAGAGAAAGCAGTAGAACCTTTTCTTTTGTTATCCCTTTACAGTTTCCCCTCTACTGGAACAGGTTGCCCAAGGAGGCTGTGGATGCCCCATCCCTGCAGGCATTCAAGGCCAGGCTGCATGTGGCTCTGGGCAGCCTGGTCTGCTGGTTGGTGACCCTGCACATAGCAGGGGGGTTGGAACTGGATGAGCACTGTGGTCCTTCTCAACATGGGCCATTCTATGATTCTATGATATGATTATTTCAGCTTCCACACCCGTCTTTCTGATGGGGAAAAACTCAAAGTCTTCTTCATACTGAGCATTACCTGGTGAAAAGGACATACAATGAAGAGCACGCTTCTCATTTACGAATGGGACCCAAGCATTCCAGCACTCAGTATTCAGCAGTGTTTCTGAGATGATGTAGAGTTTAACAAATCAAACAGATTTGCTCTTGTGTACATCAGAAACAAGCTTTGTCCTCCACACCAGGGGAAATGTATAAAACTGGTTCTTCATCTACTTTCTAGTACAGAAAACCTGTTACTTCCACTTCTATTTCTTCTGCTCCTAACCTCCAGTCCATTCTCTGCTAACAAATTCATCAGCCTCAAATATTTGTGCATCCTTTGGGAATCACATTTGCAGATTTGGGGATCATGGCACTACTTACCTATCAACATCCCAACCACCTATCAAGAAATATTACTTGAAGCTAGAAACCGTATTTGAGATTTACAGCAAAGGCACCAGACTTCTATGTATTCATGCATTTCTAGAAAAGACATCTGAGCAGAGGTAAAAAGGAAAGGCAACTCCTACAGTAACACTGAGTATCTGAGAACAGTCTTATCGCAGCTCAGCACTACATGTGGCACCAACAGCTCGTTACTGAGCCAAACCAGATTCACCAGGTTTGGTATTAATTACATCAACGTGACATGCAAGTTACTGCTGCTGCATGGTGCTGAGCAGCCTTCCAGAGCTCCTGGGACACGGTTTGCAGCAGTTTTTCTTGGTTTCCTCTTCAATGACTCATAGAGCTCATCCTTTGTAGATTCTGAACATCTTTCCACACTCCCTAAGCTATTGTTATGTTCAGGTACTTGCCAGAGTGAAAGCTGTACTTGTTTTCTAGAAGTGAGGCCATGTAACTTAAGAGTAAAATTTCACACAATTCATTTTATACTTGTTCTTTAGCAGGACAGTGCCTGAGTATGAAAAGCTCTGTGGTGAAAATACGCTCTGAAAAGGTCATTTTTAACAGATTGCTTGGCAACCTAAGCATGTAGAAAGCAGGAAAACACTGTGAGGTACAATATCATTAAGGCAAAAGGCTACAACTGGCTTCTGCCTTAGCAGGAAGGACTCTGGAGAGCTGCAGGACTCTGTGTGTTGCCCACAGATATTCCCTAAAAAAATGGGAACCTGTAAGTCCAAATGTGTTATGCTGTGCCACAACACACTCTTCATTCAGTTTCAGGCTCCCATCTCAAGTTTCACATTAGCCTAAGTTATTCTTCTTTCTTCTTTCCATTTGTATGCTTAAAATACCACTGAAGATAATTTTATTCATTTAAGCAAATGAAATATCTTTTCCTCTCACGCTCACTCCCTCTATCTAAAATCACCTTAACTTGAAAATCCAGTACACATGGTTTACTTCTATCATTGCTGCAGAAAATTCACAGGTCATATTATTATGCCGTGATCAGCAAACACATCCAGGCTCTCTTCTCCTTGAGTGATCTGTGCACAGCTTAAGACAACAGTAGCTGGTATGTGCCCATCAGTTCTTCCATTCAGAGTCATTTCAGATCCCACTCCCTCTTTAGCAGTGTTAGTCCTCCAGGTCTCCCAGTTCACTCTTCATCCTCCTCTGTACTTAGTGATGTCTCTGAGATCTGTATCATCATAAATACCATCAGGATGTGACTCTTTTCCTGCTACAGGTCATTAAATAAAAACACTCCCATAACCAATCTGACAAAGTCCAGACCAAGTCTGGCTTTCATCATCTCCCTTAGTCATTTTGCACTACTCACTCCCTTACCATATTTGCAATTCTCACACTGATCTCCTTCTCCAGCTTGCTCTGTTATTCATGGGAGAACATATCAACACTTTTGTAATGTCTATACAAAAGATTTTTAAACTGTGTTTCCTAATGTGGAAAAAACAGCTGTCAAAAAAAAGCTGTCAGGTTAGGCTTCATCTAATTTTCAGTTTACCTTTTAACTAACTCTGTTAGAAATTTTGCTTCAAACTCCTGCAGCAGATGACTGTGCAAATAATAAAGGATTTTACATTTATTTCATTATTCATGTAGCTTGGCCCACTTACTGAATGAAGATTTCGAGCCCTTCAGTTGTACAGCCAGCATCCCACATGGAGCAAGTAGATAAATCTGGATGGAAAATGCTTTGTAGATGATAGCTTGCTAGGCCATAACATACTAGAAGGCCACCAGTGATACATAAGTCTAAAAATTTAACTGTTCAGGGCATTTTTTCTGCTTAAAGGGTTGCCTTTAACTTGTCTGTAGACAATTCCATGCCTGCAACCAATCTTCCTTCATCTCTTTCCTTCCATAACCACAAATATACACGTGGTACAAGCACGCAGCAGGGATAAGCAGCTAATCTGATTTAAAGCTAACTCTGAACAGTTTTAACCTGTTCATTTCCCCATCAGACAGTAAATCGGTGTGCTGGCTGGGAGAGGAGAGGTCAATGATGCTGGCTTCAGAACAGCTATAGAACTGGGACCTGTGACTGTTTAGCATGTAAATTAGGTAAAACAATGCTTTAGCCGTAGAAATTTTGATATAAGCAGAACAATACAAGCCTGTAAAGACTAGTGCTATCTTGTTTGATTAATTGATGAAACAGAAAAAAAGAAAAGAAGCCTACAGATCAGTTTTTAAGTGTTCTCTCCTTCTAATGATGTGTAGTACCCAGCTAACTAAAATGCACATCTCATTCCTTCCATGGCTGAATCATTGAGACCTTTGCACACCTGTAGTATCTGAATGGAGAATAAGAAGTTGGTCTCTAGTGCCACGGTACCATGAGAAACAAACTGAATTCCCTTCATGCCCTGTTGGCAATATGCAATTCATGAGCACAAGTTGGGAAGTAAAGCGGAAAGGAATTCACTGAGAACTGAAGCTTGGATCCTGTCAACTGAATATAATGGAATCCTCTCCCATTCTTCAGAGGATTACAGAATGGCTTGGGTTGAAAGGGACCTCAAGGATCATGAAGCTCCCGCCGCAGGCAGGGCCACCAACCTCCACATTTCATAGCAGCCCAGGGCCCCATCCAACCTGGCCTTGAACACCTCCAAGGATGGATGAAGCATCCACAGCCTCTGTGGGCAGCTGTTCCAGCACCTCACCACTCTCAACTCTGAGTAAAGAGCTTCCCCCTGATATCCAACCTAAATCTTCTCTTCTTCAGCTTAAAACCATTTCCCCTTGCTCTGCTATTATCTGCCCTTTCCAAGAGTCCTGTTGCTCTTCATTTAGAGGAAAAAACACACCGCAACAATAAACAATACCAAGGCGTCCACGGGATTATTCTCATTTCTGCAAGGTTGGCAAATGATGATGACCACAAATAGAGGAATCAAATGCTGTTTTAAGTCCTAATGCTGCTCTCTCATACAGCTTGGGACTGAGAATATAGGCTACAATATGAGGTACAAACAAATTTAATACTTAACCTTCAAGACTATACAACTCATTCAGCTGGAAAATACCTACTGTAATTATGCAGAGGACAAGAATTAAGAAAATAACCTTGCTTAGCTGTGAGTCAGAGTAATGTTTCCTCCAGATTTACAACATATTTGGCACAGATTATGAAAAAAAATGTCTGCAGTACTTCAGACTTTGGTATTTGGCCATAACTGTATGTTCTGCATAAAAATCAATTTGGAAAGAGTTATAGAAGTTCAGCACTTATACTGGCCTAAATCTTTTCTACATTGATTCTTCACGTATAAGTTATTACAGGGAATTCATACACAGAACCAAACAGAAACCAGTTGCAAAAAATTAGTGCTTTGGGGCAGCAAGTTAAAGTTTCCCTGTTCCTCTTTCCAGACAAGTCATAATATTTATCTTAATATCTGTCATATGGAACTATATCTAAGTGAACACTCCAAACTGAGCTACAATGAAGCTGTGATATACTTATTGCAGTAAATGTAGGTTGAGTAGGAAATTAGAGAAATAAAACAGTCCAACATCAGTAGTAGATTCTGCTATTGTAAAAAAATATATATATTTAAAATCTCTTCATTCAAAGCTAGTTACAGTCAGCTCAGTAAAAGTATCAGAAACTGCCATTTTCACCCTGCCTAATATCTTCCTGACAAAAAGAAAACCAGGATGGTAAAATGGAGTTTAATAAACAGGGTAAAAAACACCTGCAAGTCTTTTTTTTTATCTACAGGTAGTGTTAACAATTCCTCTTTCCAAGACAGATCATTTGGAGCAATTGAGAATTTACTTTATTCTCCAGCACTTTACTAATCCAGCAACAGGAAGCATGCATCATTTTTATGACTGCTGATGAAGCACGCACCATTTGACAAGTGACAGCACTACCAATTTCTGAAATTAAGGCTTTAAAGCTCTATCCCACAAAGAGCTCCGTGATTTTGCTCGGCAATTTTTCTGCTGTTATCCTTAATAAAAAAAAAAAGTCATAAAAGAAGGAAAGCTACACAAGGCATAGACAAGCAAGCACTACTTCTAAAGTCCTTTGAATGGCCAAGAGATGCATGTCCTAACCTGACACCAGCAGATGCACTTTAATAATTTTGGACAGTGTAGCAACAAAAGAGCCTGTACCAAATGTTTTACTAAGTCTGTACAACCAGAGAGTCATAGAATCACAGAATGGTTTGGGTTCTAAGGGACCTTGAAGATCATCTAGTTCCAACCCCCTGCTATATGCAGGGATATCTCCCTCCAGATCAGGTTGCTCACAGCCCCATCCAGCCTGGCCTTGAGTGCTTCGAGGGAGAGGACATCCACAACCTCACTGGGCAACCTGTGCCAGTGTCTCACCACCCTCACAGTAAAGAATTTCTTCCTAATATCTATGCTACATCTACCCTCTTCCAGTTTAAAATCATTTTCCCTCATCTTGCTGCTACCTGGCCTTATAAAAAGTTCCTCCCCAGCTTTCCTGTAGGCCCCTTCAGGTTCTGGAAAGCTGCTATAAGGTTTCCTTGGAGCCTTCTCTTCTCCAGGCTGCAGGGCACCAGCTCTCTCAGCCCATCAATAGCAGACAGGACAGAATCAATAGCAACAAGGTCACTGCATAGCCCTGTAAATATTCTCCATTTAAATACAGCTTGAATTTATACAAATTAAAATTGAATAGTTAAAAAAAGAAAGTTGATATTGAAAAAGGAAGAAAAGACCATGGGGCTAAACTGCCTATGCCATGTTGCAGTTTCACAGCAGCCAGTAATGGACTAAAGCAGATCAGGACTCATTAAGGCCTTCCTCTTGTTACGTTTATTACACTGATGAAGAAACATGTAGGCTACTAGGTCAAATACTGAAACAACACGTATCAAACCTACCAGTTTTTCAGGTCATCAAGAAACAGGATGGCAATGGGACAGGCAGCAGTGATGCCTAAAGACTATGTAAAAAGCAAATGGTGTTTACCCTCCATTCTTCCTTCCAGCTGTAGCACCCTACATGACATTCCACTAAAATAACATGGTTTAAGCAAAACCAGCTTCTCCAACAGAGCAAGGCTTACCTGATGGAACACAGGCTGTTTCAATTTTAAGTAAACCTGCAAAGATTAAAAAGAGATATATAAGTTGCAACAGAGAACAACCATAACATTACTGATTTAAATTATTGATTAAACAGCCAAGGCTTGTTTGTTAGAATAAAAACGAGGGCCTACCCATATACCATTAAAGCTGATTAAACATTTGAAGTTTCGTCTGGCAAAATCTGGGGTTTCTTCAATCCATTTTAAACTGTGGAGTTATTTTGGAACATTTGGAAGCACAAATAGAGATATTAACATCTAAGACCTCCTCTCATTTAACAGACTTATAACACAAAAACAATTAAAATACAGAAATTGCCAGGCACATTGCGGATAAGCATTGCAAGAAGATGATGTACTTTGCTTTGATTTGCTATTACAAATGTTTTTGACAATAATATTCCTGTTCTTTTTACCAAAAGCCAGTAGTTAACAGACACGTTGGTCACACAGTTCATTTATGCTCTGTTTTTGGAGACAGAAAGGCAACGTGCCCTAGGCATAACTTGCCACAAGTGTAAAGAAAAGAAAGCTTAGGAGGTGTAAAAGAGAAGTCTTTTAAAGGAAAAAAACCTGCATCACTATTTCAATACAACAACCTTTATCAAAAATAAAGGAAGAGATTCCATCTGTGGCTGACAGCCTGTGCAAAAGTCATTTTGTTCGAGCAGGTAGCTGTCTGCATTGAGAAGGGAATGAAGTTAGAAGAATCGAAACCATGTTGAATCTCATTTCTTAATCAGCAATGCTCTTTTCTATTTGGGCTGTTGTTTCAAAACACCCCTCAATACAACAGTCCATTACAGTTCACTTCTTGCAGCCTGATAAACAGGATTATTGCCACTTTTGTCAAAGAGCTTTCCTCAGGGACCTAAAAGGAATCATAGAATCATAAAATGGCCAGGGTTGGAAGGGACCTCAAAGATCATGAAGCTCCAACCTCCCCTGCCACAGGCAGAGCCACAAACCTCCATGTTTAATACTACACCAGGCTGCCCAGGGCCCCATCCAACCTGGCCTTGAAGAACTCCAGGGATGGACGGGGCATCCACAGCCTCTCTGGGCAGCTGTTCCAGCACCTCACCACTCCCTCTGTAAAGAATTTCACCCTGACATCCAGCCTAAATCTTTCCTCCCCCAACTTCAAACCATTTCCCCTTGTCCTGCAGTTATCAACCCTTCCAAAGAGTTGATTCCCCTCCTGTTTGTAGGCTCCCTTGGGGTACTGAAAGGCTGCAGTGAGGTCACCCCACAGCCTTCTTTTCTCCATGCTGAACGAGCCCAGCTCCCTCAGCCTGTCTTCAAAGGGGAGGTGCTTCAGCCCTGTAAAAGGACTCCTCAGTCCTCAAAGGATTGTTTTTGTCACATTCTTATTCTAGCAATTGGATTACTGCGTTGTTTCCTCTTCGTTTATTCTGTATAGTAGCTTAGAGAGAGAGGTTTCAGTTTACTAAGGCCAGTATGTAATTTTCCCACAACAGTCATTCTTCACTGATAGTGGGAGTGACTCAGGATTGCTGTGGGACAGGAGGCTGCGAACATGCAGGTGAAAAAGAGGTATCAGAAAAAGTTACTTACTATGCTGACTATGAAGCTGTATGTTATTAAAATGAAAAGCATTGGATAATTGACTGTGTTCTTGTACTTGAAACATTCGTACCTGGAACAGAACATAAAGGAGAGAGATAACATTTGTCACCACACAAACGATGTATTTTTCAAAAACAAACAAGCAAAAAACCCAACAGTAAGCTTATACATGTACTGAAAATAAACCAATCAGTGGAACAAATTGAGAAAGCATAAACATTTTTCAAAGGTGCTTAAGGGGTGATGGGTGACAAATCAGAAATGAGTTTAAAATGCAATGCAAGTGCCCCAAAGCATTACGTCTGTAATAGCTAAAGTCAGTGTGGGAAAGGATCCACCTTACAAAACAGCAAACTCTTCAGTTCATAAGCTTTTGGAAAGATACCAGCATGGATTAAAAAAAAAAAAAAAAAAAAGTGTAGAAATATCTGAAATATAATCTATGAGGCAGCACAATATGTTACACTGCAAAATGCACTGCCAAAGTAATTGCATGGCCTGAGAGCCACTGGGTTTGAATGATGAGGTGAGGGAGAATCCCATGCAGAACCACCCCAACTACCTCCAAGAAAACCAGAACGATTATTAAAGGCCTCCTGAACCAAGCATTAGCTCGTTCTTCACAGCATTTTAATTACTACCAACCAAACGTAGAGTCTTGTTAGAGCTGGATGTGCAGTAACAGAGTTCAGTGCTTTTGAAGACGACAGCAACCACTGCACAAAATGAGCGTGATTATTTTTTCAATTGGCTTTCTAAAGCCTCTTCTTATCCTTTCTCCAATCACACTCAAATCAGACAAAATGAATGCAAAGGCAATTTCAAGGAGACAGGGAGCTACAATGGAAAACTGTAACAGAGACATTATTATTCTGCTCCTCAGTCTGTACAAATCATACTAATGTATGAATCACAAACTGATGGTAATTTCCACAAGATGCATATTTAGTTCTATCTCAGCCCATCTCCACTGCAAGCTACTTGTACCCTTTACAAAAAAGATATCCAGTTTGCAAGTTGAATATTTGATCACACGTTCAAAAGCAACAAGACAATTAATTTCTGCCTGCAATGGGTCCTGTTAATCATTTAGATTTTCCAAGCAATGGAACAAACCGTTATTCCATCCAGGCCTTGCAGCAACAGGCAAGAAAAATAACTTACTGTATCTCTACTAAATGCCACACTATTCCTGAAATTAAACAGCACAAACCATCTTGGCACAGCATTAAGCTGTCATGCATGTTCCAGGACATTCTTCACAAAATTTGCACTTCATGCCTTTTTTTTGCTTTACTTTTCTAGATGAGTGGAAAGCAGGTTTAACCAGAAAACTGAAATCTGTAAAGCCAGACCATGTCATAAAAACATGGCTGCAATTAATTGCCACGCTGATAATTTCATCGGTACTGCTGAAGTGATTTTCTTATGTCAGCTGTTTACATACCAAGTGCCACAGCTCTGGTTGGATGCAGTGCAACTCTTTAATGTTTTCCTGCTAAACACTAGGAAGACATCTCTAAAGTAGCAAAAACAAGGATTTAAGTCAACTTGGTGCTCTAATGGCCAATCACAATGTTGTACTATTGGCAAAATTGAGATCTCATTGAAAGCCTCAATGTCAGCCTCTCTGTTGAGCTCCACATATGCCATATTATAAAATCTACTATTTCAAAAATATTCAGGAAAAAAAAAAACATTTAACAAATACTTACAGGCAGTAGACAAACACACAACAACTGTATATCATTGGCAGTTCATCCAACAGCTACAAAAAGCAGAGACATCAAAACATGTAAACTGCTTTTAACTTGTGTAAGTTAATTAAGGAGACAGAAGACTTAAGAAAATAGGACTTTTACATCATTTCGATTTCCCCTTCTCAAATGAACTTCAGTATGAGGCAGTATCAACTCCTATTCGACTACTGAAATGTTACTATATTAATAAGCTAATTACACTGGATCTTTGGAATATTACATTACATTATGACCACATCACTTGGATCCTGCTTGATGCAGTAGCATTCTACACAAGCTTCTATAATACATTCTATACAAGCTGCTCCTATACAAGCTTCAACAAACTGTAATGATATAATTGTTTCAGCATGTAAAATAAATCTTGAGGCCATTACGAAGCACCCTGAAATACGCTCAAATGTTTACTTCCTAATTTTGGTAATTTCTGACACTGTTTTAATTCTGAGATGGCTTTTTCTGCTGATTTGAGGGCTTGTTTTTCATATTGTGACAGCCAAATAATGTCTTACTTTAAATATTTTTTATTATTTTAGAGATCAGTGTTATTTCTCCACCTCAATTTCGAGGGAATTAAAACAGTTGCAGGCGATTTCTCAATAACAGGTACACATACACTCTGAATTGTGAAGCATTTATCCAAGAGGGGAAAACAAAAAGAAAGAAACACACAACTTCATTGCATTATTCTATCCTAAAATTGTTCTCAAAGAACACCACCACATTTCTGCTCGTAACACAGTTAACTGATTTCCCAGTGAAGGACTGAAAAATCAGGAAAATGCAAAAGCAAGCGAATGCATCAGTGAAGGTCTACTGCTTCTGATCGTGGATCAAACGCTAACACTGCGCCACCTTAGAACTGTTACTCCCACAACACAATGGACTTTTTCCTAAGAAAAACAAGAACCAGATGCAAAGCCGTTTTGATCTATTTCCTCCACCACGCTGGAAGTCGTCGATGGCCATGTTTGTACAGAAACTCCCTTCCCATTACTGGTAAAGGATAGTTAGCTAGTTCACAATCTTGTTTTTCTGTATGGCCAACCTGATTCTCCTCCATTTGGGAGCACTGGTTGAATTGCAAAGGCAAAAAGCTTCTTTTAGTACTGAATATTTAGATTGGAAAAAGCGAGCTAGTTCTTTACTGAAGATGAATTCTCCAAGGCATGAACTATAAAGCTTTCCTTGGGTTTGGTCACAGAAACTTCAGGAATATTTCACAATACAGCTAAACAGATCTAAGTCACTGAAATGGCAAGTCTTGCTCTTCTTCAAACGTACTGCCGGTGCCTCTCGAGCCAGCAGCCATGTTTGTCTGACCCATGGAAAGTCACTTCCAATAGGTGACCCAGCACACAGCTGAGACTGCAGGAAGAAGGTTTTAATCCCTGAATTATAGGGCCGGGGATTGCAGTAGGTAGCACAAAGAAGGCATTAGGAACAGTGGGCAGATGAAGCCAACTTTGCCACCAGATGAGTTCATCATTGTTGTGATGTCTTAGGGAGAAAAAGAAAGAAGCAGTAGCTAAATTCTAGTTGATAATAGTAGTTACTGTTAATTACAAGTTCAGTGATTCTTTCACCAAGCCTGAAAAGAATTTTCTGCAGGATTAATTCATTCATAGTTTGTTAAGAGCATGAGTGATTCAAGGACTCATAAAAAGAGGGTAAAAAGAATGAGAAATACAATTTAGAAAATACTTGCACATTTGGACAGCTGTGTGTAGTCCAAAGTTCATATGCTGGCTGCTTTTCAGGGACAAAACAATAACAGCAAAGAGACTCTCAAAAGATCCTACTTAGGATTTGCCTGCAGAAGACAGTGGCTTCTGTCTCAAAAGAAATTCATCCTTCCCAAAATGCTGTGACAAGATACCTGAACACTGAAGGAACATGTATAGAAGGGAACTTTGTGAGCTGATTTAGCTGGTTAAAGAAGTATTTTGGAGCCCGCAAACCATGGTTGAGCAAATAAAAATCAAAAAGTGGTTGCTTCAGAAAAAAAAACCTCTCAGGAACTGCTTTTGAGAGCAAAGCTTTCACGTTTCCCTTAATTAAAGCATGTGAATTGACCATTTACAGTATTAAGATTGAAACAAATGTCAAGAAATTCTCTTCAAACAGCTGTCCAGTGCTGACTTTGAATCATAACAAGAGAAAAATTGAACAAGAAAAGACTATTTACTAGTCGAAATGTTTCTTTTATGGTGATTCATCGCTTAGTAAGCAGAGTATTATGGGCCACTTGCAGATTTAGCTTGGCTGCCAAAATAATAAGTGTACTTTATCTCACATAAAGCCTTTTATTCCAGTGGGAAAAATGATGCAAGCCATTGCTGCTCCCCTCTACTCTGCTTCCGTTCGCCCTTTATACACCATGGTCTGTAGGACACTTGGTTGTTCTGATGCAACACCAGAGCTACATGATAACCAGCAAAGTCACATGGATTTAAAAATAAAAACAAAAACAAAAACAACCACCCAGTTTTTTTTTAAAGCCTGGATCATTTTTGTGTGGCCTTGCTCACCTGCAAGAAAGAGAGCCCAAGGGAACATCATGAAACTGCCATTGGGGAGGTTCAGGTTGGATATCAGGAAAAGGTTCTTCGTTGAGAGGGTGACAGGCCACAGGAACAGCCTCCCCAGGGCAGTGGTCATCACACTGAGCTTGCCAGAGTTCAAGAAGTATTTAGGCAAAGCCCCCAAAGCATATGTTCTGATTTTTGGGTGGAGCTATGTGGAGCCAGGAGTTGGACTTGATGATCCTTATGGATCCCTTCAAACGTGGGATATATGATTCTATGAAAGGGGATCTGAAAGTCTGGTTAGAAACAAGCAGCTGAGGGAAGAGAGATGAAAAGGTTTAAGTTTTCCCACTGAGATGGGATTAACTTGTATTAGCTATTAGTTGGCAGGGGGTGGGGTGATGGATCCAGAAAGAAACTTTTTCCATGCCAAAAAAAAAAAAGAACAGCAAATATTTGTATGGTGGCAACAGAATGCTCCACTGTGACTTATCTCCAGCACATGCTACAAAATTGAAAATGAGCATCACAGAGGCAAGCATCACTACAGACTGTAATTTGGTTCAAATTCAAGACATCTGATTTTTGGTGTCTATCTACACAGTCTCAGGTCCCATTATGATTCAAGACTTGATCCAGTTGCCAAGGCACAGGCTATCTCAGATGCTCAGGGTCTCCACTACACCCTCTCAAGGCTGGCAGAGACAGTATGGGATCCAAGAGACCTGCACTCTTGAGGGATGGCACCTGGAGGCCAGACAGAACATTCACATGGTCTGAAAGGACACACACTTTTGTTTTGGTAGACTACGATTCAAGTTCAGGCTACCAACATAGAATCTGTGTAAACACAGATTCCTAGCATAGAGCATAGGTTTCTTAATTTTGAACTGAATTTCATTTCATTCTTTGATATAAAGACAAATTTCCTTTGTTCTCTCAGACCTAAAACAGGACAAAGCTCTTTATGTCCCTTTAGAAAATGAGTAATACCAGGACAAATCCTTATGCCCAGTGCCTGATTGCTAAATACCTTCTGCTTGAGAATGAGACTCTACTATTCAGCAGACACTGACTGCAGTATTTGTGCTACAAGTACATCCAGATCAATAGAAAATATAATAGCAGACATTAAGCTACAAAAGATGATACAGTGAATAACAGTAGGCTATATTGCTTGCTATTAAAACACAGCTGCAGAAATTTTAAAGTACCAGTGAGTAAGAAGATAGTATAATTTCCCAACAAAGTGTCTTCTACAAAGTAAGCAATCGATTAGAGCTCTTATTTTAGGAGTATGTACATCTATTAGTGTAAAGCATCAGGTGGAGTAAGACCCACATACGATCATATCTGAGGTACATTAACTCCTGTTACAGAAGTTTCATCTTGTCAAGAAATGGCAGTATGACTACACAGTGAGAAACATAATGAGTCACAATGTCTTATCAATACTTACTTGCATTTCATACTTCAGGGTCATGTGGAAGCACCAAGATCCCAATCCCACAGCTGAAAACACCAAAGCCATGGTTAGAATACAAGTCTATGCTGAAAACATTTTGGGTGCATTAACTTAAACACGCAAAACTTACTGAAAAAAAAAAAAGCCATGAGCATCCTACCTTGGGGACAACTCGGTTTTCCATGGCTGCCCACTTTATATTGTCAATTTTTTTCTTTGTGGGGGGAGGGAGGTTTCCCTGTCTCCTACTATCTAGTGTGATTTCACTTGAGATCAGGAGTGAAGGGAACCCAGAATGAATGGAACAGCATTACTGCAGCTTTCTTTTTAGAACATTAAGACTTCACTTTGTCAATCTTATAATGCAAAGCATCATTCTAATGTGGTTATCCTGAAAGTCAGCAATATTTCTGCTTATCATCTAGTTTAAAGGTAAATTTGACAAGTAGTTTTTGGCCAGTTTTGGAGGCACAACTGTTACTAGAACTCAGAATCAGAAATTCAAAGTACACAATCAGAATCCATCAGTATTCATTCATTCTGTGAAATGTGAGCACCATCTCCTAGCTTCCTCCTGCAATCCTTCTAGATGATCCATTTTATTTATTCGAAATACTATGATTTCACAAGTAAATTCAGAATTTAATTTATGAGACGTATGCTTTGCTTATACCAAGTTCTCAGCAGTTAAACAAGGACAATGTTTCTTGTAAGTTAGATTTCATTATTTAGAGCAAAGCCAATAGAGTATTTAATCTGTCATTCGCTGCTTTGGAATGTGAATAATTAAATACTCTCATTAAGCACCAGCTCATTTTTATTTTGGAAGAGTAACTACATTAATGTGATGCCTTGTCTTCCTTCAAGAAATGAAGCTTTACCTCATCCTCAGAGAAAGCCAACTATTTTGCACACTGGGTAGTGCTGCTGTGCAGCCTTTGCTGCAAGAATACAACCTTCTTTTCTGCACCCACCAGCTTGGCTTCACTGAGGCATACACAAACAGCACTTTTTATACAGTTTTCCCAAGGCAGTTGATAGACACGTCTGGAGATGTTTCTTTAGATGCTTTTATCCTGGAATTGTGATTATATATACTCAACAAAATGAAATACCAAAGCTGTACCGAAACACAGAACTGTAACAGAGCTGCACTGCCAAACTCTTCAAGTCCATATATACGCACCCTGTAACTTACAATGGACTTCTGATTACATTGCTTGGCTTTTGAAAACTCTTTCTGAACAACAGGCAACCACTTCATGGGATTTTAATGAGAAATTCTCACAGCTGTATTTCTGCATATACAGAATAGATTATAACTATTAATCACTCTGCAGAAAAAGCACATTGAGATCGTAATTAAAACAGTGCCACCCATTACTGTGGCTGTCATGCTGATTTCAGTATCTTCATGATACAATCCATTAAAAATTGTAACTATTATTTTCGAGTATGAACAAAACCATTGCATAACAAATTGCTACTCGTTTTAAATTAACAAAATATGTTATTAGGTTTCTTTTTTGTTTGTGTTTGTTGTCATTTTTTAAATGCTATTGAGGCTATAAATCTCAACAGCTTGTTACTAAACACACTCCTCCCCTTCCTCCTGGAACATGATTAGAAGCAGTTATTTCGAGATTATCTTTCCTATTCAGTATCATCAAATGCCACAGGTAACACTGTTGCAAGTCATTAATCCCAGGACTATAATTAATTTCTAGAAACAGTTATCAAAATACTGCTGTGTCTGTGTAGTGATCACACCGTTTCTTGTTCATTCAAGGCCAGGCTGGATGTGGCTCTGGGCAGCCTGGTCTGGTGGCTGGCGACCCTGCACATAGCAGGGGGTTGAAACTAGATGATCATTGTGGTCTTTTTCAACCCAGAACATTCTATGATTCTATGAATTTTTCAATAGTTTGAGGAAAAATTAGATCTGTCACATAAGCAGTGGCAATTCATGTTGATATAAGACTATCCATCAGCATTACGAATTATTCTTTAATCATAACCTAACATCTACAGAAAAAGCAACATATTAGGATCACCTAGATGTGGCACGAATTTAAATTAAAATAAAGAACACTGTAAAGGGTGGGATGAAATTTAGCTCTAGCTGCTAACATCTTTATTTAGGTATTTACATATTTACTTGGTATCAAAGCTTCCACTAAAGACAACATCATTATAAGAGCAATTCAGCTGGCCAACTACAGCATACCACAAACAGTCAAAGAATGAAAGATGAAAAAGCAGAATTAAATCAATTATTTTTATGGAGTTGTTTTGTTTTCTACGCTCAGTACTGGTTTCCCTCCTCCGCCTCAGACAAGAGTGACCTTGCCTACTCCCACCGTACAGCTCTACCAGAGAACTCCAGCACAGCTGGGCCAGTTCCCAGACAGCATAATGCAAGCGTCTGTGCTAGAGAATGGTTAGAACAGTCTGTGGCATGAGCCTGGCCTGTTCCAACTAGCACTTTTCCCCAGCAGTTCCCAGCACAGTCCAGCAGCCAGAAGAGCCCCAAGCTCGTGCCCAATAGGATATTTGTATGCAGTCTCCCTCTTTTGGAGGCTGAGATAAACAGACAGACCGTTCCACATTGCTTGGCTTCAGCATGCAGGAACATTCCCAAGCACATCTGATTTACAAACACAGCCTCTGCAGCATCTCTGTGGCTCTTAGATAAAAATAAGGGAATTAATTTGGGGTGAAGGGCTTCTAACAACTCTTATTGCAGATGCAGTTTCAGTGGAAAAAGAAATACATATATTTAAATCAAGACCCGTCTAGAACATAAAACATTTGGAAATCACATTTCCCCGTAAGAAGAGAAAATGTCATGGGTAAAACCCAATAAAAAACCAAAGCATCAAAATGAGCCACCCAAAACCAACTGCTTCGAGGTAATGACACTCTGATCTCTTCTACCTGCTTGATGAGAAGCAAAATGCTAAAGCGACTGCTTAAGAATAATCTCAGTAACTTTAGACTGACTGATAAATAGTTCTCACTAAAAATCTCATCCTTTTTCTATTGAGTTCATTGACAATATGCCCTTCGAGCTGAAGCGCAGCAGAAACAAAGGCTGAGAACAGTGTGCTGCATCTCAAAACACTTGTTGTAAAGTGCAACCCAGTTTTGGCACCAGTACGAACAAGGAATTTATTTAAATAGTTATTCAGAAATCCCCATTCTTGTTGAGCCAAGTTGGGATCTTAGCACGTATGTGAAATGAACAGTCCTCCCCTAATTCAACATGCACTGGGTTCAAAGAGGAAATAGATGTCAGCAGCAGAAATTGTAGGGTATAAAGTAAAGCACTGAACACAGCGTGGTGAAACAAAGGACCTGACAATCAGCTGAATGTCTGGAAGCATCCAAAAGGAGCAGCTGATCTGGATCGAAATAACGTCTAGAAACAACACTTACATTCTCAAATGCTAACAGATTTCATTTCAACGTCCGCTTTGACAGCTGCCTACTAGCTTCTTGTAAAATATCAGTAATGATTCAACATAACTAACTACAGTGCCCCCTCCCACCCCCATATCTTCAGAGCAGAACTGTGAAAGACTTTCTACTTTGACAAAACAACCCATTGACAGCAGAGCTCCTAACTGGTGGTGTTTTCAATGAAGCCTCAAGTGAAACCAGCACTTCTGCGTTACATTCAATGCTCCTTTATGGATTAAGTCTGTATTTGTGATAAATTAGTGACAGAATGAAATCTGTTCATAAATAAAACCATTTTCAGGAAATGTGCTCTCTGGCACTTTCTAACACAAAGACATTTCTGTACACCTACTCTCTCTGTGTCAGTATGTTTTTCATTCAGTCACATGCGGAGATAGAATGCCAATGTTCCTGGCACATTTCAACTGCATTTAAAATTCTGTTTCTCTTCTCATTTGCTGCTTTTTTTCTTCTGTAGAGGAACAGATGTTAAGAGGCTTGTGATTCCACACGATTCTGCTCTTGTTTTTCCACCAAGAAGTGATAAAGCTGTCTACGTTCTTTCATATCTCCCAACTGCTACAAAACAGCCCAGCATTATGAATAGTGAAATGGAGACAAAACAGAAGAGAAACATACTGGGTCACACACAGTGACCTGTAATGTGAGGTTCTAACATAAGAAATGAAAGTCGAGTCATGCAAGCATTATCACTGCAGACAGCATTCAAAGACTTCTTCTCCCCAGTCACAGATGAGCCCAGCTGGAAGTCAGGACTGCCCTGCAGCAATGCTGCCAAGTATGCAGGCTGAGTTCCCCTTCATGAACACCAGAAACAGCAAGAAAATGGAAGTCTATGGTGTTTATTATGAACAAAGACAGACTCTTTTACCACATTAACTGGTATATGATAAAAGCCGGTTCAGAGCTGGAAATCCCTCTAGCAGTCTTGGTGTGACATGCTGACGTTCTGGTCAAACAATGGCACAATCTGTCCATCATGAAGCAGCTACAATATATAGCAAATAGTGAGACTCAATGCAGTTTGACCATTTTTCAGTTTAGAAGGAATCTTTTAGAAGGAACTAATCTTTCAGGATACTTTGATTCAAAAACAAGGGAAGAGTCAACTTTAGCAAAGCTGAAGGAAGGGAAGCCACCCAGGGAGACCTGGACAGGCTTGAAATGTGGACCTGTGGGATTCAAATAAGGTTTAGCAAAGCTAAGTGCACGGTGCTGCACTTGGGTCCAGGCAATCCCAGGTATGTGTACGGACTGGGAAAAGAACTCACTGAGAGCAGCCCTGTGGAGAAGGACTTAAGGGTGTTGGTAGAGGAAAAGCTAGATATTAGCCAGCAGTGTGTGCCTGCAGCCAAGAAGGCCATCAGTATCCTGGGCTGCATCAACTGAGGGGTAGCAGCAGGGTGAGGGAGGGGATTATCCCTCTCTGCCCTTGTGAGGCAGCCCACCTGGAATACTGCATCCAGGTCTGGGGCCTCTAGCACAAGGAGGATGCAGATCTGTTAGGAGTGGGTCCTGAGCAGGGCTATGAAGGTGCTCAGAGGGCTGAAGCACCTCTCCTATGAAGAAAGGCTGAGGGAATTAGGCTTGTTCAGCCTGGAGAAGACAAGACTTTGAGGAGACTTTAGTGTGGCCTTCCAGTACACGAAGGGAGCTTATAAACAGGAAGGAAATTGACTTCTTACGCTGATACCAATGGGACAAGGAGGAATGGTTTTAAATGGGGGAGATTTAGATTAGATGGTAGGAAAAAATCCTTTACTTGGAGTGCGGTAAGGCCCTGGCACTGCTGCCCAGAGAGATGTGGGGGCCCCATCCCTGAAGATGCTCAAGGCCACGCTGGATGAAACCCTGGGCAGCCTGAGCTGGTGGGGGCAACCAGCCCATGGCAGTGGCTAAAACTCAATGATCACTAAGGTCCCTTTCAAACCAAGTCATTCTATGATTCAAATGCTTACACAAACTTTCGTTTTCTCTCTGGCCTTCAGAAGCTCCTTCCACCAAAGTAATTTAAACTGAGACAAAAAAACACTCAGTTTTTACTCAAAACTCTAGAACACCTCCATATGGCTATTTGGAAAGTTCTCAGGAGCTTCCACGGCTGCCTATATTTCACACATATTAGCAAAGCTGAACTAGGTCTCCAAGTAGCTGAAAAACCCTGAGTTGTACCTTGTGCATGTAACAGCTTCATTGGCATCACAAATACACTTAGCATATGGTTGTCTGCTTTCTGACAATGTTTATCTAAATACATATGCAAGCCAGTTTTAAATGTAACATTTGCAATAAACAGGCGTCTTAGCACTGAGAAGACTGGGAAAGTCAGCCTCCCCAGAGAAGGGAGCTACAGCAAACAGATTTGTGAAATCCACTTCTAGAGACCCTACTGCCAAGTCTGAATGGTCTTAACATCTTTTCTCAGAAGGAATGCGATTAGTAGCTACATAACTGAAAACTTAAAGGAATACGTTTATTTTCTGTATTTTGTTATTACAGGAAGAAACAGACTGCAGTGAAGTCCACTGATACACCAAGGTCTCTTATTTTCTCTTCCGTCCCTGCAGAACTTCTCAAATACAACAGCAGTTAGGTTGTTGGGGCCAAACAAGAATTGAAAGCCAATTCCAACTCATGAAAGAATGCTCTTTCAATTCCTCTAAAATCTTGCCTGTTTCTATGGAATACAAATACTATTTAAAAATAACAAAAAGCACACTAATATGCCATTAAGCTTTTGAAAATAGCACCACAAAAGAGACCTTTCGCATGAAAACCTCACAGAGTTATTTAATACACCCTAATTTCATGCTCTTGGTTGCGGTTGGACTCGATGATCTTTAAGGTCTTTTCCAACCTTAGCAATTCTATGACTCTACGATTCTAAACAGTATTTTCCTGTAAACATAAACCTCAATGTGGTTGAGCTGTTATAGTTTCACACACAGTATTTGGATTCCACTACTTGGTTTATTAATATTTGGATATTGTTCACTGTTCTTTTCTTATAAAGGCAGCCAGAAGCACAAATTAACATTTACACGTACCTGTAAGACATAAATATGCAGCTAAATACCGCTTTTCAAGGCCATCTTTATAGGTCCGAATCGCACCATAGATTGGAGGTAGAATGAAAATCAGGTTACTCACTGTGTTCCCTGTAGGACAGAAGCAAAAGCAGGGATTTAGAATTGGATACTACACACTTTCAATATACAAAGCTGCTTCAACAGTTGTCACCCAGGAAGCTGCATCTTTTTGAAACTGTCTTCTGCTTAAACATAACACACACAGTTAAATTCTGGCGCAGCACAGTTAACCATTTGAAGACTGTTTTCACTCTGTTGCCACTTTCCATAGTAAGAGAATACTAAATTAGCTGAAAAGGTTGGCTTAGATGATGATAGGGTTCCTTGATTGCATGGAACATGAATTCAAACCCAAGTCCTTCAGGAGATAAAGCTAGGTATTCTACGAGCTGTTTTCTCTTCTGCCCTCACAGTTCTCCCTTCTGATCCTTAAGGTCACTGAGTGACTCATTCCTAAATTAACCAGTTCAATCTCTACTATTTGTGTGCAATCACTACATCACAAATCACAACACGATCAAAGATTGCAAGAAGGTTCGAAAAGGAACAGCAAAGGGTTAAGAGCAAGAGGGTATGAATAAGAATAGCAAAAAAGTTAGAAGCCACTAACGATCAGCATGACAGGCAACTGTCAAAGCTTATCAAAAGCTGGAGCTTCAGCAAGACGTTGCTGCTCTCCATCCCTCCTGCTGAAGCTGGGATGCAACACAAAGGAATGACACATGTGCTGCAGAATCAGAGACAGCACGAACAAGCACAGAGCCCAGCTCTCATACCAGGGGGCAGGACAGCCTTTCCAGCACTGGGGAAGATGAAGAAACCTTCCCTCTTCTTTTCTTTCTTATGACTACTTAGCCATCCTCATTTAGACATGTTTTCAAACTGTCCTGGCCATTGGAAAATGCACAATGAAATGGTGAGAAGTACAAGTGAAGTAAAAGGAAATAGCACATTTCTCAGCAGAGAGGATTCAGATTTTGAGCCCAACCACAAATCAAAGTTTCAAGGAGAAAGGTTTTGCAATGGGAATGAAATGACATGCAAGTTAGGCAAGAGCAGATAGAAAAGAAGGTAGAACCTTGCTCACATAAATTAAGCTGCAAAATTTCACATGCCATCAGTTAAATGCAGATAGCCAAAATGTAAAGTCTGATTTCCTAAGATCTCAATAACCACAGGCACAACGTATGAAGATAATGAGAGGCCACAAATCAAAACAGCTCTGCAAATACACACTAGCTTGAACCAATATAACAGGCCTTTTGGATGCCCTGTATCTCTGGGGAATCATTAACCTATCAGCACGTTCCTACAGTGACGCAGTAGACCAGGTTTGGAAGAAACCTGCTGAAAATGCAGCACTATGTGGTACATCACCATCACCATTACCCACAAATCAGGCAGAGATGTCATCTAGCCTCAGAAAATAGAGCAAAGGCTACACAGACTGGATAGCAAAACTCCTGCTTTCCGAAGGAGCTGTCAAATACATCCATCTAACAAAGATGTCATTAGAATTGATGTAAATATCACTGTTAAAGGTCACTTTATGATGAAATTGTCAAAAACCTGGCAAAAATTCAAATATGCAAGTGCTGAATAAAAGAAATACCACATTGTTTATCCATAGATGGGAAGGCACGTGACCTTCAAAGCCATCTGCAGTAGGATAACAAACTGCTAATGGATACAGGAAGACAGAAAAGAGATTCTTCCGTAGGAAAACAAAGGCTCCAACACTTCCTGTAAAGTTATAATTACGTTAAATTATTGAAAATTTATGAGCATTTAATTTAAGACCATCCTGCTGCGATAGGAAATGCTGCAGACCTAGTGTAGCTGTAAATTCCTGACACTCCTCCTGGGCAGTTTTTGGCCCATATTATCCAGCATGGATTAAGCAAGCCTATTTGGGAAACACTTATTGAAAATTGTGCTGTTTTGTTTTTAAATAAAGGGAATAGGAGCGGAGGAGCAGTGGAGTTCTATAGCACGCTGCTGGCAAAATTACTTATTTCAAGAACCAAAACAAGGCAGTTATTCAACATAGTGTCCCCAGGAGTGTGGATTTCATAAAAGTCGTGTTCTTTTTTTCAGGATTATCCTCGTATAGAAGAGCTCACCCATTCATTAACAAGGATTTTTACTAATTCCCTCAAAAGTGGCAGTGGGACATGCACAGAAATTAGCAGACAATCCCACAAAAGAAAAAGATGACAAGTAATTGCAGCCCCATTGCTCGGAAGGTAATTAACAGAGGACTGACTGAAACAAGTTTTAAAGGAAACAGATACTGAAGTTGGAAATGGGAAAGTTATACTCTAAATATACACATAAAACCAGGCTCCACAAACACAGCATGGGAAATGCCATGGATAAAAGGGAGCTATATGAAATAAAGGATAAGAGTGACAAATGAATAAATGGATAATAAACTAAGCTTAAATAAATGCATCCTAGCAGGTAGAAAATATCTTCCAAATGAGGAGGAACCATTTATGAGTTACTTCCCAATAGTAACAGGCTGTCTGCTGCTGTAGGGTGAAGCTCAGTTAGCTCCAACACTGGAGTGATGCAATATGGTGGCCTACAACCATGAAGATTATACTTGGTACCAGGTCAAACAGAAGTTTAACTTCTAACCATGTTAACTGGCAGACTGGATGACAAACCTTGCCAAATTTCTTAAGTGTTTTCAAGACTGTTATAGCACAAAGCGCTGTTTCAGAGGATGATTTTATTCCTTGGGAGAACACCATACTGTACCAAAACAAAATCAGATCATCGCTTCAACAAGCCTTTGTCTCCCGGAAGGACAGCTCTACTTGTGTTTCACCACAGCTGCACTCTATTATACAAACAGAGCAGCAAAACTGACTGGTCTTTTTTTTCCCCTATGCATGTACAGTCATCTTTGGACCGTTAAAAATATATTTATGGTATCATAAATGCATGAAGATCTGTACAGAGACTGAAATTACATGGTTAGTGGTTTACACCAAAGTTACAAACAAAACTTCAAGAGGAAATAGCATTTACAGGCAAACATGGGCGCAATATACTCTTATCTGAAGAGTTTGGTATAGCTAAGGTACACAAACCTGAAGGACCCTACTTTCATAAGCTTTCAGTTTTCCCCAAGATGCAGTCACTTCTATGTTAGAAAGTTATTTCTACAATAAACGTGGATGAGAAGTTACAAGGATAAACCATGTGAAGTTGCAAATACGTCAAGCACAGTCAGAAAAAATACTTTGCAGGATGCAGGAACATAGCACAAAGAGAGAAAATAGGAATGTTTTCATTGCAGGAAGAGAAGTGATATTTAAAAAGAAGCCAAAATTATCATTTTCTGCTTTTGGCAAGGTGACCTAACACGGTTTACAGTGTTAAGAGATCCTTTCTCCTGTGTTTGTACATAGAATAAGTTAAGGTTTACCAACTGTAAGGACCTTTTCAAATGTTAAGACGTTTGCCTTTCTGCTCTCCATCTGGCTGTCTCACGCTCAAAGGAAGACTTTTGAATTCAGTATGGTTTCTGCAAGACTCAAACCAACAACAAAAATAACCATTACCTTCAGATAGCGAAGAACAACATGATTTTTTTCCAGCTTAAGATGTCAGCTAGCTATTAAAAGCTTCTAAGAATCATGATATTCATTACAGGCTTTCAACCTACCCTTAAAATCAACAGCAGCTCACTGTGAAACACAAGAAAGGGAAGTAGCTCCTGCCTTCTCAAATATACACACCTAGCTCCTGTAAAGTCAATGTGTCTTGTGTGATTAGAAAACAAACAAGATTTTGAGGCGAAAATGATCTATTCCATTGTGTGCACCTCACGCTGCACAGCACAATTTTAGTGCAGCACCTGGATCACATAGCTGCTCCTTTTTTCCCATTAATGGATTAAAAAAACAAAAATAATTTTAAAAAACCAAAGCCTGTCAGATGGCCTCATGATACATTCAGAACTTGAATCATCCTTTCAGCTGCTTTCAGATACAATTTCTATCTCACAGTTTTTGTTCTCGGAAGCATCTCAAGCAGCTCTGGTGCAAAGCGTGGCTCTTTATCTGAGGGCACAACCACCTACCATGGAAATATCCTCTCCTTAAGAAAGGATGGATTCTCTACATGGAAGGATTTCTAGAGATGGGAAACCAAAGAAACTCAGAGATTAACAGTGTAAGAATGGCATAAGAAGAGTAGTCCCAGCTGCAGCAGGTGAGATGAGACAAAAAATGACAAAAAGGTGTTGAAATCTGAATTCCAAACTGGAGAAGTAGGCAGCCTAATGACTTAAACACAGCGGAGGATTCTAGAATATCTCCTTACCAGAATCTCAGTCAAATCCAATATGGGAGTCCTTGCTAAGACAGAAGTGCCTCACAGCTCACCTACCACGGCATTGTAAGCAATCAGCAAAGGAATTAATCTGAAGAAAATCCAGTAAGTTTCCATACAGTACATGCTATATATTGTCAGTGAATAATAACTAACTCAGAGGCCAGAAGATGTTTGCATCACTGATTTTCCAAAATCCAGCATTTCATAATTGCTGAGAAAACCCAACTACACAGGATCAGCTGGTTTGGCTACTACCTTCAATCTGGAACTGCTTTCACTTAAGTTAGCACTAGGAGGGCTGTCTAGCAATTAGATTTCAACTTACACCAGCCATTTTTAATATCTTCCACTTCAAAGTCCACAATAACTGCACTCCAGAGCATCAGGAAATGAAAACTCCTGCCTCCTTTTGATATTTCAGAAGGACCTTGAGGGGAGAAAAGCGAGTCATCCTGACGGGAATTCTGCCAGTAGGTGATTACTGAGCTCCCTACTTACTGATGTGCATGAAAGATCGATGTCAGCTTCCTGTTATTCAGAGAAGCACAACCCAGTGACTCCAGGCTGGAGCACCAGAGCAATCCTGACCTTAAAGAAAAAGAGAAGGTACTTTTTAAATGACTGATTCCTACCTCTTGCAATTCAGGTCTCCTTTCCATATGCTAAGGAAGTCTTGATGTCCTTTACATGGACATTAACTGAAGCTACTACTTGTAGCAATTCAGCTGCAACTTACGTTAGTCATCACAGTCCAAATAACAACATGGGAAAAATACTGAAGGAAACAAATAGCAATGTGACTACTGAACTACTGAACTGTATAAGCTGCATATGAAAACTTACTCAAGAACCACGAGAATTGGTCCAGATGCAATACAATCCAATGGGTTATTACAGGGACTGATCTCCCTAAGCTGTTCCTTTTTTTTTTTTTTAATTTAGAAACCTAAAGACCAGGCTATTATAAATAGTAAGAATTTTAACATTTAAAGGTCGGTAGAACACCACAGGAAACTGTGATAGATTAAGCAGATTGGAAAGGAATACTGTATTAATGCAGCTATGCATAGGTTTAGGCAAATAAGAAACGTACCTTAGTGTAATATTATGAGAAAATCTGAGAGAGACAAGTCAGAAGGGGCTCAGGTAAGAGCAACCAGGAGCACTACAAAGGAAAACAGGTGGCCAGCTAGGAGGTTTTGTGCTTGAAGTCAGCATCCCAGACCTGTGCTTTGACCTCTCTTGGCTGCTGCTGCCTTGCTGGGTCTTCAGTTCTCTGGATCCTTAAATATACACTGGTATCCTTCAAACAAAACTGCACAGGTAAACCACTCCAGCGATTCAGTGGATCAGGGAGGGGTAATGAGGTAATTTCAAGGAAAAAAAAAAAAAATAGATTAATTATTAACAACGCAATTTGATTTTTATCTCCAGTGCTTTTATGAGCAGTTCCAACATGCTGCATCAAGCAAGAAGTGCTGACTTACAGCTTTATGCATCTCATATCCCAGCAGCAGAACTCATCCCTTGGCATTCAGTGTACCCACTCAGCCAATATTTCTGTAGATGCTTCTACTCCAATTACAGTATTGCATGACACGTTTGTGTTCTTCAAAACAACCAACGTGTAGAAGGTAATTAGAAGAGAAAGCTCTCAATGCTGCTAACAGAGCTGGCGTGAGCAAGCTCAGTTTGAACACCCACACTGTACAGGTATTTTCTAATGCACAGCCCTCTCCTTGCTATGTCTCCTTACAGCTTCTGTAATTGCTCTAGGTTACAATTAAGTTATCCTTTTCCTGACTCTCACCTCTATGAAAATCGCTTTGCTACTGCGTAATAAAAACACTAAAAAATTAGAATCTAACAGGAGACTGTTCCAGCACTGATCTTATTCCTTATGTTGCTCTAAAAATAAAATAAATGCGTGAAAGCAAATTTTAAAATAACTCCATATGTTTCTTCATTAGAAACTGATAGCTGCACAACCATGTAAAATAATGCAGACTTCAATTTAGATGGTGAAACACCCATTGTTGGACTAAGCAGCTTTTGCTTTTCCCTCTCAAAAGCAAAAAAAATACTCATTACCTATTTAGTTTCTATTATTGCTGTGTCTGAACCACTCCAGTCTTCTGTGTGTTTATCCTTAATACCCCTGCGAGGGGAAGACAGGTTAGAAGAGAGTATGTCCAGCCACTCTACTACCCTTACCTAGCACAATAACTGACTTACCCACATCATCTCTTCTAATTATAGTTTCAAAGTATGCAAGAGTAAGAACTGTAGTTCCTTAGGTACCAGCTCTTACAGCATTTAGCATAATGGAGTTCTCCTCCTACTGGAACTCTTAAAGAAGATAACAAAATGAAGGAAAAGCACATGACAGCCCCACACGTGGATGTGTGGTTCTTCTGAGGGTGTGACTTGAGAGCATGAAAGACAGGGGATGTTCTCAGCATCTCCTCTGTATGGGATGAAACCAGCTGTGGAAAGAGCATCTGCCCAGGACATCAATGTGATATCTTACTTCAGGATTCCAAAGCAGAGGTGGTCCTTCTGTCACTTCAAGGGCACTTTTTCCAGCGATAGAAGGGAGATACACAGTAGGGCTGCTGTGGGCTTGGACTGTCCTCCTTTCTCTGTAGTTCCTCACTACTGAAGGCCAGTTTTGATAATTATCTTCCTATGGCTTTAACCATGCCTATCACATCCAGACACGCCTACAGTACAAGGTGTTCTGAAGCATTAATTAATATTTTTGGGGTTCAGAGGAAAGTATTATACTAAATGTAACAGTATTTGAGAACGAAACAAAAATGCCAGAATATATCCTTGACCATTTTCTTGAGTTTGCAAGAAGTCTGAACGAACAAGACAGCGAACACCTCCTTACCACTGTACTTTATTTCCAATCCAAGGCATCCACAACTACCTAGACTTCATTTTCATTACCAGTAGCTGATATGCCATCTTTGAACATTGCTTTTCTGGAATATGGGGAAAGAAAGCATCATTTCCCTGATAAACGCACACCTAAGACACAAGCAGACCAACCATTGGAAGTACACCTGGAAGGATTTTGCAGGTAAATCTGAAGTTAAAACAGTTAACAGACACATCATTTGCAATATCAATCTAGAAAGCACACTGAAAGCAAGTACCTACATCCGGAAAATGCAATCAAAGTGTAAAGAGATTAGGCTGAGATGATGTAAAGTTTGAATATTACATGTGATAAGCTCATTGCTGAAGGGCAGATTTGCTGCCACTACAGCCTTTACTGGAAACAAAATAAAACCTATTTGAAATGTTATTTTAAGACAAATTGATGTCAGACTGCCAAGAAGCTACCAAGAAAGGCAAGCTTACTCTCGAGCCAATGTTAAAACTGAAGTGATTATGATGATGTTTGTTACAGAGATCATCCATTTAATTTGATTTTCATCATACTTAACTCCTTGTTCACCTTTCCTCTCCTATGCTGGGATCAGTGTACTGGCTTCACACTCAGTGCCTGCACCAACTCCTCTAAGCCTGAGATTCTCTGAGCATAGAAGCACAGCTTCTGGCAGCTGACGTTGAGTTAGCAGAATACATCCAGCTCAGCATCCTCTACCCTTACTCCAGATGCAGTGCCTTGAGGCACAGTATCCTATGGGAATGGTCTCAGAGGCTTTGGCAGCTCCTTCCCAGGCACTGTGCAGTGAAGCATGAGAGCTCAGCATCTCTGAAAGGTGAGCAGCAGAAAATAACATGGATCAGTGCTTTTTTCAAGATACCTGCAGCATTAACTTTAGAAAGCTTTCATCAAAATCCAAACCCTCTTGCTTTCCTGCCTTCCTGACTTTCATCATGGATTTCTCATGGGTGTCCAGAATGATAAAGCTAGAAGTCTCTCCTACTGATGATTCATCTCACACGGATGATAGGAAAATGAAAGGGAGGATGGGGTGTGATAAATGTAAATTGAGATGATGAACCAGCAGCAACCACAGCCTGAATCAGACACACAGCAGCCACCACAATACCACTTGATGACTTTTTCTCTCTCATCAGCAAACCAACAGAAACCTCCATCCAGAATTAACTGCCATTTTTTCTTGCAGCACCACCTTAAGAACCGTATGGCTGCCAACACAATGATCACAGAATCACAGAATAACCAAGGTTGGAAAAGACCTTCAAGATCATCCAGTCCAACCACCCACCTATCACCAATAGTACTCACTAAACGATGCTCCTCAATACAACATCCAAACCTGGTGTAGGGAACCTGCTTTGGCAGGGGGGTTGGACTCGATGATCTCTGGACCTTCCAACCCCTACAATTCTGTGATTCTGCATGAGATAAAGAAAATAATGAAAAAACCAGCAACCATCTGATCTCTGAAATGACTGACTCTTATTACTCTTACTCACTTCCTAACATCCAACTTTACTTCTTTTAGGTTTTTTTCTTCTAAGTATGTCACCTTTAAAGTCTTTCTAACAGTTTGTAATTCAGGTGACAACCTCCTGCAAGGACTTCTGTACCTCATTCACTAACCCAACATTTGAAGGCTGTGTCTTCTCCTGGTCTGCTATTTGTAACTCCTTTTACTTGTCATTTCAACACAACTTGCATGTTCTCACTCGAAAAATTAAAGTAGTTGCCTATTAGCCCACAAATGTTGGCAAAAGCTATTTATTAAGTTCTTTACTGTGAGAGTGGTGAGGTGCTGGAACAGCTGCCCAGAGAGGCTGTGGATGCCCTGTCTCTGGAAGTGTTCAATGCCAGGCTGGATGGGGCCCTGGGCTGCTATGAAATGTGGAGGTTGGTGGCCCTGCAAGTGGCAGGGGGTTGGAGATTCATGATTCTTGAGATCCCTTCCAACCCTGGCCATTCTGTGATTCTATCTATGTGAAAATGAAGATTCTTCTCCATAAAGACAGTAAGTTTGAAGTCTAAGTTGAACAATCTCACAATCTAAACCAAATATGGGAAGAGAGAATGCAGTGCATTGAAGACTAAAGCTTTACACACCGTCTTTGTTTAATACAGTAGCTGCAAAGAAACAATTCATATGTTAGCTGGAAGACATTTGGGCAGGAAGACGATCTACTCTGCAAAGATAAGCAAACTGAACACAAAATGAACCAAGTTCCCAGCACAACTGCTGGCTCAAAGACTGGCAGAGGAAACTTTTAGAGGACAGCTCTGAGACAAATGTAGAAGTACAGCAAAAGTGGAAGAAAATATAAATTAACACAAAAGACATATGGAAATCACTGTGGGAAAGTTCAAGGACAAAACAAGAAAAAGAATAGAAGACCTCCCAGCAGGATGTGTTTAGGAAAAGGAAACATTTCTCTACAGCCTACAACAGAAAAGAGGAAAAAATACAGGCAAATTTAAGTATGATGGACTCAATTTTAGCATTCGAGTATTGTGCTCCCATTGGACATCGTATGGAAGACAGTATCACAGGAAGATAAACTTGGGCCTTAAAAGAATTAAGAGCCATCAAGTCCCAAACGCCTGAGTGAAAAACAACTGTGATATCACAGACCACAAAGCCATAGCAGCTTGGTTAAGTGAAGGAAAACAACATCTGCTGGATGATTTCACTGCCCTGCCACACTTCTCTGCTACTTCCCGAAGCATCTATGCAGTCCAATTGAGCTGATTCTTCTTAGAGCCAACAGTCACCATTTCCAAAGAGCCACAAGCAATATAAACCAGCAATTCTCACCTGGTTTTCACTCTGCTGCTTCTGAAGAAAGTTATGATCTCCCACATTATGCAGCTAGCTGCAGCTTTATGGAGAGCCATTTGCAGAAGCCTGACCTGCAGGTAACAGTAGGCCATGAACACAAGCACCTTCCTTTTGCTCTCTTTCTAAGCTTCTGTTACCAAATCAAAAGTTGGTAGAAAAACCTTTTGCTTCTCCAGACTGCTCTTCCCTTCTATTCATTTCCACAGCTGTAAAAACAACTTGGGGGGGAGGGAGGGGAGGAAAAAAAGACGTTTTTTTACTCATGAGCAAAATATCACCCAGAGCAATTTTGACATATATAAATCTTTATTTATAAATCAACAAGAACCTGAAAAGAGCTGTGCCCTATAGGAGGAATGTGCCCTGGCCCACTGCAGTCCAGAGCCAGCATAGACCTGGCTGTCCTTAACAGCACAGCAATGCTGGAAACTGCTTCAGAGCAAAGCCAGGTCTGCAGATACTATTTCACAAAGAAGATATGCAACTAATTCTTCAAGGATCCCTGTGCTTCCTCATGGTAAGGTCAAAACACCCATTAGAGGGGATGGGAGCAGCATGCTTTCCAGTTGGGAGGCAAACCATGGTCCAGACAAATGGCTCTGACTTGGGAGGATGGAAATATGTGATGAAGAAATGACAGTGGACAGAATTACTTTGTCCCAGGATCATCAATGCTCCAGGCTATTATTAATGCTTAACTATCTTACAACAGCACTACAGTCTCCTTCCTTTTGGTCTAATACTTTATCTGATTTCTGGATGCTGGATCTTGTCCAAATGAAGGCCCCTATCCAATTGCAATTAGCAATTACTGAAAATCCAGCCTACAGAGCAGTAGTATCTTGAGCTTTCACTGCAAATAATGAGCTCATTAAGGCATTGTGTAAGTAAGAGAGCTTCCAAGGTCATGCTTTATGACCATAAGGTTGATATACTGAAATCCTACTAGCTGGAAACCACACAAGTCATACACAGACATCCACTGCCATACATCCCAACTCACAGGGAAGCAAACGTGAAGGAAGATATTGAGAGGAAAGAAGGGTTGGTGTAAATTACACATTGTGTCCCGGATACCCACACCTGGTGCAAACCTGCAGGTAGAGGCAGATGTCCAGCTCACCCTCAGCATTGTCTTTCTCTAATCCTGCCTGTTTACTTTCCTGCCTAAAGCAGAGCAAACCTTGTCTTCTCCTCAAACCCGAAAGTCAAATCTCAAACTGAAAGCCTGAAAGTTGCCCAGCTGACAAGAACTTCTGGTGATTCATCTTCACCAGCTCCTCTGGTTAGAGAAGAGAATCAATAGCACAGTGTTGCTTGGACCAGGCTGCAAGGGAAAATAACTTCTTGCTCACACAGCCAGCTGGAGATCCTTCAAAAGATGCCTGTATCACTGCTAGGTCACTCCAAGGACACTACATTCTGAAAACAAATCAAACCAAGGAATAACATCTCCCCAGCAAAACCAATGACAATAAAAAAAAATGATACAATAAACTAATGCCCCAGGACACAGCTGGAAAGCAACATTGCTGCTGGACATTAATCTCAATTTGGAAATAAAGTTTTGGAATTTCCCTCAGGAAAGATCTGCAGTGTAGAAGGCAGGTTGAGTCACCAGTTGGAAAGGTCAAGAAATGGAGAGAAGCATCAGATGGTTGGGGGAGGGCTGAGCACCAAGGGTGCCTCTCTGCCACCAGAAATGAATGAATGAGAGCTGCTACCTCCCAGGCTGCAGACACACTGGTTCCCTTTAAAGAAATAAATAAGCCTGGTCAAAATACTTTACAGCACTGAGGGACAAGGTTTAGCAGGCATGGTGGTGATGGATTGACTGTTGGTCCAGATGATCTCAGAGGTCTTTGCCAACCTTAATGATGATTTTATGACCTGTGTGAGCTAGCACAAGAAACCTGAGTATTTACGCTCAGTTTTTTAGATGCACAAAAAGATCTGTGCCCACATTGTCAAACCTAAATGCTACCCATAAAATCACTGCAACCCTGCCCAGAGCTTGCCTGTCTGGGATACTGAGATACTCAGATCTGTCAGTGGTAAAAAAGATCAGTGCAAAACCAGTGCTTCTGTTTTCTGAGCTCTAATATTGTCTAGAAATTTCTTTTTACCTGACACTTTCCTGACTTCTTTGTAATGCTTCCAAAACTACCAAAATAGTCAAGTGCCTTGAATTCATGCAGCAGCTTTTCTTCTCTGCTAATGGACTGAAAAATGGCTGTAATTAATGAGGCAGGCATGAAGAGTTGCACGGATAGAAAACTCAAAGCCAAAGGTAGGTAGCTTTGACTCGAGAACTGTTTGCAGCTGGACTCACTCCCAGCATTGTACGTGTTATTATTTGATATGTACTTTGAACTAAAAACTCTTTTTGCATTTTTTAACCTCTCACGATCTGTGAACCTTCCTGTGACCCTCTTTATGCCACTGAAAAGTGAGAGAA